GCTCCTACACATCGCTGTTAGGTTGCTTTGCCGGGATATTTTTTTTTGCGGCAATCTTGGATCTTATTCCGACTCGCCATCTTATTCTCAGCTCGATCGGTGAATATTACCCAACAGCGAAGACTAATAGGTTTCTAATGGGGCCAGAAGAGAGCATCTGATGACTCCCCAGCGGGGTCTGGGCGGGAGCCGGACAGGCGAGAACCGTGCTCGTTTTAAGCAAGCAGTGACACACTTCGTGCTCTTCGACCTCCCAGAACTTTACTCCCGAGCCACATTTCGAATGCCCGGAGCCAACTGTAGGCCACTTCGTGCTCTTCGACTTCCCAGAACTCCATTCCCGGGCCTCATTTTGGATGCCCGGAGCCAACTGTAGGCCACTTCGTGCTCTCCGACTTCCCAGAACTCCATTCCCGGGCCACATTCTGGATGCCTGGAGCCAACTGTAGGCCACTTCGTGCTCTTGGACTTCCCAGAACACCATTCCCGGGCCACATTTTGAATGCCCGGGGCCAACTGTAGGCAACTTCTTGGTCTTCGAGTTCCCAGAATTCCATTCCCGGGCCACATTTTGAATGTCTGGAGCCAACTGTAGGCCACTTCGTGGTCTTCGAGTTCCCACCCTGGGGTTGCTCGGACTGCGTTTTTCGATCCAAGCACGTTGGATAAAAAAACATGGTCTGGATCAAAATCCAGTGTACGCAGTGGCTTGGATCAAATTACCCTGCGACGTACCCAACCCACGTGCATCAAATGGCAAGAGGAGCATGCCAGCACTAGCAGGAACAACGACAGTGTAGACGCGGCGATTTGCTGTGCAAGCTACATGGGACGCGCATGCGTTGCACGATTCACAGGACGACGATCGAAAGAACGAGGCTTGAGGCCCCAGGATCGAAGAAGAACGGGTACGGGAACGAGGGGTAGGAGAGGGATGGAATGGAGGGCGGGGGGGGGGGCGAAAGGCCATCGCGGAAGCAGCAGCATGCATGGAGAAGGTGAGGCGGGGAATAGGACGACGATGGAAGTGGCGGGAGGAGACAGAAGACTGCCGCGTTTTTCAAGTGCGAGCTAAACCCGCAGCGCTGCCTGCGCCATGTCGTCGCAGAGTTCCACATGGTAAAACTAGTTCAGAGTGCAAGGGACGAGCGAGGCGTAGCTCGCCCGCTAGCTTCTCCGCCTCCTTCCCGCACACTTCAGCGCGGGAGCTGAACGCTCGCAGGCGCGCCGCCAGGTCTGCGGGCGGCCCGCGGGAAAGAAACTCAAGGCCGGGGTCGCGTATCATCAATCGGTTGTCCATCGTCCAAAGTTGCACTGGCGACGTACTGGTTGAACGCGGAGCGAGCAGCATCACGCGCGCGCCTGAACGCCACGCAGGTACAGTGCACGCGCGATTGGGACTTCAGGTCGATCACGCGCGTCTCCACCAGGCTTGGCAACACCACGCGACTGAGGATCTCACTGCGGTCTGCCATGCTGCTGTCCGCGAATGCAATGCGCTGCCTGCAAGTAAGGCGGCGGCGTCCACTTGTCTCAGAAGATGTTCCCGCGGGCCCGAAGGGCGACCGCCAGCTCGAGCCGCGGCGCCGGCAGGCCAGATAAGGATCATGCAACAGCAAAGACGATGACAGAGCAACGAGGTATCGGCGAGTGCATGACCGGCCTCCGTTTCCTGCACTTCTTTCCTGTAGTTCCCCTAGCTCATCGAGCTCAGCAGATGTTTCTGCCGGTCCGAAGGACGACCGCCAGCTCGAGTCGCAGCGCCGACGAGCTGCATCCACATCAGGCAACACCCCAGGAGACACTGGCACACAACGATTTGACGTCAGTCAGTGCCAGACCACTCCATGTCTAGTTCCTCGCGCACATACAGTCGATCGCAGATGCGGGATAATCGAAGCAGAATGACGGGTCCAATCTGCGTCCGCGTAGGACGTCACTATGCTGGACCCCGCAGCAGGTCTCGAAAGTAACGACAGTTTCATGGGCCCCACAGCAGCCCTCGAAAGTGGCGACAGTTTCACAGATCGTAGCCCCCCAGCGCTGGCGAGGTCTAATCTGAGTCCCCGTAGGACGTCACTCCGCTGGCCCCCCAGCAGCCTTCGAAAGTGGCGACAGTTTCACAGATCGCACCCCCCCAGGGATGGCGAGGTCTAATCTGAATCCCCGTAGGGCGTCACTCCGCTGGGCCCCCCACGCAGCCTTCGAAAGTGGCGACAGTTTCACAGATCGTAGCCCCCCAGGGATGCCGAGGTCTAGTCTGAATCCCCGTAGGGCGTCACTCCGCTGGGCCCCCCAGCAGCCCTCGAAAGTGGCGACAGTTTCACAGATCGCAGCCCCCCAGGAATGGCGAGGTCTAATCTGAATCCCCGTAGGGCGTCACTCCGCTGGGCCCCCCAGCAGCCCTCGAAAGTGGCGACAGTTTCACAGATCGCAGCCCCCCAGGGATGGCGAGGTCTAATCTGAGTCCCCGTAGGGCGTCACTCCGCTGGGCCCCCCAGCATCCCTCGAAAGTGGCGACAGTTTCACAGATCGCAGCCCCCCAGGGATGGCGAGGTCTAATCTGAATCCCCGTAGGGCGTCACTCCGCTGGGCCCCCCAGCAGCCTCGAAAGTGGCGACAGTTTCACAGATCGCAGCCCCCCAGGGATGGCGAGGTCTAATCTGAATCCCCGTAGGGCGTCACTCCGCTGGGCCCCCCAGCAGCCTCGAAAGTGGCGACAGTTTCACAGATCGCAGCCCCCCAGGGATGGCGAGGTCTAATCTGAATCCCCGTAGGGCGTCACTCCGCTGGGCCCCCCAGCAGCCCTCGAAAGTGGCGACAGTTTCACAGATCGCAGCCCCCCAGGGATGGCGAGGTCTAATCTGAGTCCCCGTAGGGCGTCACTCCGCTGGGCCCCCCAGCAGCCCTCGAAAGTGGCGACAGTTTCACAGATCGCAGCCCCCCAGGATGGCGAGGTCTAATCTGAATCCCCGTAGGGCGTCACTCCGCTGGGCCCCCCAGCAGCCTCGAAAGTGGCGACAGTTTCACAGATCGCAGCCCCCCAGGGATGGCGAGGTCTAGTCTGAATCCCCGTAGGGCGTCACTCCGCTGGGCCCCCCAGCAGCCTTCGAAAGTGACGACAGTTTCGCAGATCGCAGCCCCACCAGGGATGGCGGGAGGAGGCGGGAAGGAAGGAAGGAAGGAAGGAAGGAAGGAAGGAAGGTGGAGACCGCAGTGCTCTATTCAAAACGAGTACCCAACGCAGGAGGGTTGGGAAAAACAAATTATCCCGGCAAAGCAACCTAACAGCGATGTGTAGAAGCATATCTGGAAGCATTCCCCTTAAGATTCAGATGAAAATCCAGTTGTAGAATTCTGCTGTTCTCGCAGTCGTAGTCGCATTCGCGATGACAGTCGCAGCGGCAACGGCAGTCGCAGTCACAGCCTCAGCCTCAGCCTGCCTCAGCCTCAGCCTCAGCCTGCCTCAGCCTCAGCCTGCCTCAGCCTCAGCCTCAGCCTGCTTCAGCCTCAGCCTCAGTCTGCCTTCAGCCTCGGCCTCAGCCTCAGCCTGCCTCAGCCTCAGCCTGCATCAGCCTCAGCCTCAGCCTCAGCCTCAGCCTGCCTCAGCATCAGCCTGCCTCAGCCTCAGCCTCAGCCTGCCTCAGCCTCAGCCTCAGTCTGCTTCAGCCTCAGCCTCAGTCTGCCTTCAGCCTCGGCCTCAGCCTCAGCCTGCCTCAGCCTCAGCCTGCCTCGGCCGCAGCATCAGCCTGCCTCAGCATTCAAAATGTGGCCCAGGAATGGAGTTCTGGGAACTAGAAGAACACGAAGTGGCCTACAGTTGGCTCCGGGCATTCAAAATCATGCCCAGGAATGGAGTTCTGGGAACTTGAAGAGCACGAAGTGGCCTACAGTTGGCTCCGGGCATCCAAAATGTGGCCCGGGAATGGAGTTCTGGGAAATCGAAGAGCACGAAGTGGCCTACAGTTGGCTCCGGGCATCCAAAATGTGGCCCGGGAATGGAGTTCTGGGAAGTCGAAGAGCACGAAGTGGCCTACAGTTGGCTCCGGGCATCCAAAATGTGGCCCGATAGTGGAGTTCTAGCAGCGCCAAGAGCGATTTTGCGAGGATGTCCCAAGCGATTTGGGCTTCGGCGGCATGCCCCGGGTCCCGCCCCGACCCCCCTGTGGAGTCATCTGCTGCTCTCCTTTGAGACCATTAGAAACCTATCAGCAAAAGCTGTTAGGAAAACAAAAAAAAATGGGGGGCATCTTTGGGGTATTTTGCATTTTCCGTCGAAAATCCCCCAGTAGGGGGACAGGCCCGACTTAGTGCAAGCTACGATGGGCGGCCGTGCAGCGGCCATGCAGCGGCCACGGGCGGCTCCACGGACGGCCCCCCAGGCGGGTGACCCACCCGCTGCTCCAGGAGGACGAGCAGGAGAAGGACGAGGGGGAGGGGCAGAGGGGGAGGAACAGGAGGATGGGCAGGAGAGGTAGAGGAGCCGGAGGGGAAACATGAGGAGAACGAGGGGGAGAGGGGAGGAAAGAGCGAGGAGGTAGGGACTGGGCGGGTGACCCGCCCAGTCCCTTGGAGAAAGCGGGGAAGAGCCCCTTCAGCTGCAGGCACTGCTCGGGGGAACACAAGACAGTCCTCGAGCTCTCTCCAGGGTCGGAGCCGGGAGCCCAGGAGGAGGAGGAGGAGGAGGAGGAAGAGGAGGAGGAGGAGGAAGAAGAGGAACATGAGGAGGAGGAGGGAGGAGGAGGAGGAGGAGGAGGAACATGAGGAGGAGGAGGAGAGAGGAGGAGGAGGAGGAGGAACATGAGGAGGAGGAGGAGGAGGAGGAGGAGGAACATGAGGAGGAGGAGGAGGAGGAGGAGGAGGAGGAGGAGGAGGAGGAGGGGGAGGAGGAACATGAGGAACATGAGGAGGAGGAGGGAGGAGGAGGAGGAGGAGGAGGGCCCCTCGGGCCCGGCCTGGCCGCGGCCCCGCGGCCGCCCCCCCCCTCCTTGGCCGCGCAGGAGCCCCGGCTGCAGGTCTCCTACGGCTTCATGGCGCAGTACGGCGTGTCGGGGGCGCCGCGCCCGGGGGCGGCCTGGGCGGCCGCGCGCCGTGCGCCGCCGGGCGCTGCGCCGCGCCGGGGCCCATGCCGATGCCATCGGTCGGGACCCCTCCCTCCTCCTCCTCCCTCCTCCTCCTCCAGTTCCTCCTCCTCCTCCTCCTCCTCCTCCTCCTCCTCCTCCCTATTCTTTCAATCTGCAGGAAATCTGGGGGGGATCCCAGGTCGGGAGCCCTGAGACGGGGGTCAATGCAGACGGGGGTCAGCCAGGGCGCCGGATCCTGCAGGATCCTGCGAAGAACCCCTCTGGCTGACCCGGGTTAGCGAGCCGCTCGTGGCCGCGAGGCGGCCGCGCCTATGGGCCGACCCGGGTTTGCGAAGACCTGCGATGCAGTTGTTTGTTCCTGCATTGCAGTTTTTTTGTTTCCTGCTGACCCGGGTCTGGATTGACCCGGGCCAGAAGATCCCCGAATCGGTTCGATCCTGCGCGAGCGCGCCCGATTCCGCTCCGATGCCGATTACGATGTGGCGCCAGTGGAGGCCGCTTCGATGCCGATTATTCGAGATCGAGCCCATTCGATGTCGATTCGGTGCGCCTGGATATATCCAAGGCTTTCTCCCTCGTCATCCCCCATGTGAGCATTGTGTGTGTGCGGGATGGCTTTGTCTGCCCGATGCGTGCCGATTCGATGCCGATGCCGATTCGAGGCGATGGCTCGATTCGATGCGGCCGCTCCCTGCAGCAGGGGCTTGATGCCTGGGGGGTGGTGGAGAGAGAGGTGCGCCTGTGCCCATGGGCCCCAAAGTTCCCAAGGGGTGTGGTGGAGAGAGAGAGGTCTTGGGCCCCAAAGGGGCTCGCATGGGCCCAAGAGGGGCACGGCAGGCGCACGTTTCTTCGCCCTTGTCCAGTCAGCTACGTGTAAGAGGGACCCTTCCTCGGGCTGATGTTCAGTGGCGGGCTGATGTTCAGTCCCAGGACTTTTTGAGGGTCGGGGACGACGTCGGAGTGGTGTGGTGTACACTATTTTCCCCGCTTTCCCGTGGAAGCAACGAAATATGTAGACACCAGGATCCCGTATACACCAGGATCCGCTCTCTTGTGCGCATGTCAGTGCGGGGCCGTAGAAGACGTCGGTGTAGAGAGTCCGGCCCCTCACTTCGAGGTCCAGTGCAGGGCCGGCGCCGGCGTGTGTCTGCCCTTGTGCTCACGGCGTCGGAGGGCGGTGTTCCCGCGGGGAGCCGCCGGGCGGCTCATGGGGCGCCTGGGTGGCCATGCGATCGCAGGGGGATTGCTCCTCGCTCCTCTCTGCCGCGCCCCGGCGGCCGGGGTTTGGGCACCTGGCCGCCGCCAGGCCACGGCGGGGCCTCGGGGGAGCCCGCCGTCGGGCGTACAGCCAGGGCCCGGGGCAAGGGGGCCTGGTCGGTGGCAGGGCCCCACAGGGCCCCGGAATGGGCCAGGAGCACCGGGCCAGGCCTGCCGTAGCTGGCGCTCCTCTTCGGGTGGCGGCGGCTCCAGTTGGTGGAGGGGGGGCGGGGGGGGCGTTCCGCAGTGCACATCACTAAACCAGGTCCCAGTAAACTTTGGTCGGGCCTGCCCCCCTACCGAGGGATCTTCGACGAAAAATTCGTGCCCAAATCATGTCATCTACGTTCCACGCAGCACGGACGCAAGGCGGTTTGCTTTCAAACATGTGTTCTCGCTTGACGCGTGGTCACATTTACGGTGCAGCGGCTTCGCAGGTTTTCTCCTGTAGCTTATGAGTTGCCCTTGCAATGGCCAACATCAGGAGGGGAAAAAACAGAGACACAATGAATCGTCGATTTCCCAGAAAATTGGGAAGTGGGGGGGAAGACGAAAACCTAGAACATATGCGAACATAAACATAGGGAATACGGTCATTTGTGTCTATTCATTCGTGTGTCCCAGGGCCCCTTCACAACAACGAAATGGAGGGAGGGCGGCTCTTAAGTGATCTCATCAGCGTGGGGCGGCGAGCGGTCTTACACACTGGCCCCGGCTGCGCGCGTCCGCAGCGGGGCCCCCCCCCGGGGTGCGGACCGTCCCTGTTGCTGCTCTTGTTTTGCCCGGTGGTCTGCACCGCCGCGCGACCCGCCCCGCGACCCACCCCCACGGCAAGCCACCCGCGACCCACCCGCCCCGCGACGCACGCGCGCCGCGACCGCCGCGACCTGCCCGCGACGCCGGCTCGACCACGTCGGCGCCCGCGGCTGGCCGCCCCGCCGCCCGTGTGGCTCTCGAGGGTCGGGTCCGCCCGCGCGGCGGGCTGCTCTGCACCTGCTCTGGAGGGCACCGCTGTGCGCCCCGGCCCGGGCGCCTTCTCACCTTTTTGTCGCAGGGGAAGACAACGTGCCCGTGCCGCTACCCTTCGGCCGTTGGCGCCTTCTTCGACCTCCTCGGATGCCTTCGTTGCCACCGCTGGACTCGCCTCGGTCCTGGTCAGGGAGCACCCGAGGAGAGGTCCGAGGAGCAGCGGTGCCGTTACCTCTGAGTTCCCCCATTACTATTACCCGTTTGACTCGTCATGGACCTCTGTGACCCCGCAGCCTGCAAATGTCACTGCTGCAGAGATGCAGGGCGGCTCCTTTCCACCTCGGGACTTTCGCCTCAATGGTAGGCCTTGTTCGCGGTCGTCTTTCTAGCGGGCGTTCCATGACAAGGAATGCTTCGAGGGACGTGTGAGGGGAAGGCCTTGGGACGGGAGGGTGTCAAATAGCACCGCTGGTGCATCGTTGGTTTACTCTTCTGCCTTCGTCATCCCCTCCCCCTCCCACCACGCGCCAGCGTGAAGTTTAGGAAACGTTCGCAGAAGTCATTAACATCTATGCCCGCGCGGCCATCTGGTGGCGCGCCATCTAAGAGCACGGCAGCCGTCGCGACGCCGACATCGGATGACCAAACATAGCGAGTAAGAACCCCAGGCGATATCGGTTCAGCGCACCCGAGAAAGAGATTTACTCGCTACGGGTTGCGTTGCTTTGCCGGGCGGTGCCATTCCGCACGGTCAACAAGCATAGATGATGTTGGGGCGCGGTGGGGAGTATTGGGCTCCTGTGGCCCTAAGCAACGCGAAGAAGCACAACATGTAACCAACGAGTTCTAAGGTATGACAAGGGGATCTAGACGAGCCGGCCTGAACAGGACAGGGTACTTACAGGAAGCGCAATTGAAATTAAGGCAGCGTGCTGCAACCTGAACACCATAGACCATAGGCCCCAACAACATCTAGCGGCAACCAGCAGGAACCACTCCCGAAACCATACGGGAGTTCCCAACTAAGGGAGTTCCATTGCAATGTCGCATTCGCCGCATTGTTTCGTGGTCTGCGCGTAGGACACTCTAAAGTGGCAGAACGCTCCCGACGCACAGACACAGGGGGATACAATTATTACCGAGACCAAACATGGAGTACATCAGGTTGAGAGGCCGAGCAGTTTTACAATGCCCCTCGGTGTGTGTGTGTGTCTGTGACTGAAGTAGGTTTCCGCGGTGCCGATCCTTGTTGTGTTGTGTTGTGTTTTGCAATGCCCCTCGGTGTGCGACTGAAGTAGGTTTCCGCGGTGCCGATTCTTGCTGTGTCGTGTTGTGGTGTTGTTGTCGTCGTCGTCGTCGTCGTCGTCGTCGTCGTCGTCGTCGTCGTCGTCGTCGCCCCCGCGACCTGCCACGCGCGACCTGTCACGCGACCCACCCCGCGACCCACCCCGCGACCCAGCCGCGACCTACCCCGCGACCCACCCCGCGACCCACCCGCGACCCCCCCGCGCCCCCCTCCGCGACCCATCCACGAGCCGCGCCCGCGAGCCGCGCCCGCGACGCGTCCAGGAGCCACGCCCGCGAGCCGCGCCCGCGAGCCACGCCCGCCCGCCCGGAGTTGAAAGCCATCGTTGCCCGCGGCGGGCTGCCTGTGTTTTGAGACTACCAATTATCCGAGCATTCTCTCTGGGTGGAGGGCAGAGGGTGAAATATGAAATGCCGTTTCGACTGATTGTCAAGGCTTGAGTCTGCAAAGGGTGAAGCACAAGACGGATCGAACCTCGAGGTGCAAAAGCCCATACGGATTTCACCCTGATCCCTCCACCCAAAGAAAATGCTCGGATTCTGATGTTCCAGCCTTCTTCAGCTTTGACTGCCAGAAAGAATTCCGAGCACCAGAAAAAGAAAGGTACCGCAACTCGAGGGTTTTCGCGAGTCGGGCCCTGGGAGACACTGTTTCGGCACTCGTGCGACACTTTTCCGGGTGCCCGGAATTCTTTTTGGAACGTGGCCCTTAGATACGATGGGCGCACCATGAACTATCACGTCGGTTCCTGCTGCGGGCTTTTTTTGCGCACTGGCCTTCGCGAGCCTCGCGGCCCGCCCACACACGGCTTTGCAGGGAGAGGGAGAGGTCGCCGCCCTGGGCGGGCGGGAGGCCTCGGAGCAGCATCGGCGCGCGCGCGGCTGGCGTCTCTACGCTGGCGCGCTCGAGCCTCGACGCCCTGGCAAGGCAGCCCGAGCGTCCAACAACTCTTACACATGGTTCATTTCTAATTCTTCGAGGGTTCTTTGATTTTTTGGGGGGCCAAGATCCTGTTATTTCTAATTGTTCTATCCTGGGCCTCTCCCAGGCCACTAGGGGGCCAGGAGCAATTAGAAACGAACACACTTAGAAATGAGCACGATCAGAACTGAACGACGTGTACTCGAATCAGGGGGGATGGGTACAGTAGATGCTCGTTTGGGGGACCTTCCTGGGGCCCCAACCAACGGATCTGTTCGCCCCTAGTTCGACCCCAGTGCGCTTCAAGGCCGATTCAAGCTCGGCTCAGGTTCGACCCAGGTTCGACTCACGGTCGACTCGAATCGGAGGACGTTCGACGCAGCTTCGACGCACGAGTGGAGCGAGTGGTTCCAGGAAAATCACCAGAATGAGCAGCCAAGCTACAGTCAACGCGCGTAGTACGGACTCGCGCGTTTTCCAGGGTACCCTTGTGTTCTTGCCTCTGTGGCCCGTCCTTTGCCAATACCACTGGCCAGCCTCTCAGGGAATCTTGGGATTTGGTCGCCCGCCGCCCGGCAAATCCCAACTTCGGCCTCCAAGGGTCTTGCGTCCTTACCACCCGTCCTTACTATACGTGTGCATTGTCTATCTGGTGCGTGGTATCCAGGCCTTTAGGACTCGCGTGGAAGCCGTCGCACTCCCGGACTCCCGTGGCCCATGGGAGTCCTCTTGGCGTCCGGCGGCGCTCCTGCAGGACCCCCTTCGGAATCTTATCGGATTCCTACAGGACCCCTCGTGCGCCAGCAGTGATCCAGTGCCCGGCAGCGCTCGCTGGCAGCTTCCAGCAGGACGGAGTGTGTTGGACTTGGCAGGTTCCAGCAGTGCTCTGCAGGACTTGGCATTCTCCAACAGGGCATCGCGGATCCCAACGGGACTCGGCGAGATCTGCCAGAGATCAGACGGGACGCGAGTTTGCCGCGTCAGCAGTATTTGCAATAATGCTTGTAGTATTCCTGCTGTGTCGGTCGCCCGCGACTCCGTCGAGCGCGCTATGGCATGCAGCGCACCGCCTGCGAGAGCTCGGCGCTTTCCCAATCATCTGGTACCAGTTGCCGAACTGACGATGTGGACACTTCTGGGGTGGTGTCTTCTCCTCCTCATTCTCCTCATCGCCCTGCTCCTCTTCCTGCTCCTCCTCCTCCTCTTCCATCCTCCTTATCCTTCTCTCCCGTTCCTGCTTGTTGGATCCGTCCGTCCTTTCTTCTCGTCATCCTCTTCTTTTGGTTTTCCCCTTTCTCTCCTTCGCTTCTTCCTCTTGCTCCTTTTCCTCATGTCCTCCATCTCGTCGCTCTCAATCCTCCTCCTCCTCCTCCTCCTCCTCCTCCTCCTCCTCCTCCTCCTCCTCCTCCTCCTCCTCCTCCTCTCTTGCATCCTATTCTCCTTCCTCGTCCTCCTTTTCCCCTGCCCGCCCGCGCGCGCGCAGGGGGGGGGAGTTAGAGGGAGGAGGAGAAGCAGCAACAGGAGCAGGAGCAGCAGGAGCAGGAACAGGAGGAGGGGAAGCTCCCCCACCACTCGTTGGAGGAGTGGGGGGGGAGAGGGACCAGGGAGAAGGGAGGCAGCAGGAGCATGCGCATCCCCTTGCCGTCGCCCCCCGGCGGTGACGGCAGCCCCAGCCACGACGGCGTGCTGTCTCTCGCAGCGCGGCCCCCCAGAGGCCTGAACCCTTTCCCCAGGGGCCAGTGTTTCATCCCGAGTCGTTGCTTGACTGTCCTGGGGTCTGGCTAGAGCCGCAAGAGGCCAACGCGGAGGAGAACTAGCAAGCCGATGGGGAAGGGGGCAATAAGCGAAAGGGGTGGATGAGGGGGTAGAGGAGGAGGAGGAGGAGGAGGAGGAGGAGGAGGAGGAGGAGGAGGAGACGATGGAGGAGGAGAGGAGATGGAGGAGGAGGATAGGAGGAGGATGGGAGGAGGTGGAGGAGGAGGAGGAGGAGGAGGAGGAGGGAGGAGGAGGAGGAGGGAGGAGGAGGAGGAGGAGGGAGGAGGAGGAGGAGGCGGAGGAGGAGGAGGAGGAGGAGGAGGAGGAGGAGGAGGAGGAGGAGTGAGGAGGTGGAGGAGGAGGGGGCGGAGGAGGCTTGGCGACAGCCTTCTGTCGCGATGTCTCCCCGACGCGCGTGGGGCTCTGGCCGGCGCGGGCGGCCGGCGGCGGCGACGCCGCGCGGCGCCCGCCGCGCGTCGCCGGGCGGCCGAGGTGCTGCCCGAGGAGGGCGCCGGGCCAGGAGCTCCCCGCGGCGGCCGGCTGGGCCGGCAGCCGCCCCCGCACCGCGCAGAGGGCCCTTCGACGACGACGACGACGACGGCGACGACGACGACGAGGACGACGACGACGACCACGACCACGACGACGACGACGACGACCACGACCACGACCACGACCACGACGACGACGACGACGACCACGACGACGACGACGACGATGACGACGACGGCGTGACGACCACGACGACCCCGCCGACGACGCCGACGACGACGACGATGACGACGACGACCACGACGACGCCGACGCCGACGACGACGACGACGGCGCAGAGTCGAGCAGTGGCGAAGCGTCCTGGCTCGCCTATAGACCCAGCAGAGAATGTTCTAAGGAACGTTCGTGGTCTGCACGAAACGTTCTTAGGACATTTCTGGCTGGGACTGTCTTGTTTTAACACGTCGAGGTTATGTCACAAGAACATTGTTTTGTTTTTAGACCGTCGTAGACGTAAAGGAACGCCAGGACTGTCGGTCCCTGCTCAACGCGCAAAGGGCCCTTCTGCCCGCGCGAGGGCGATCAAGTTTCGGGGGCTCTTTTCTAGGCTTCTGCATGGGGTCGCAGTAGATGGGGTCGAGGGATGTCGCCGCATCGCCGATACATCGGCGATGCATCCACGACAGGCCCATGTGTCCCCATGAGGACGCCGAAAGCTCACCCCGAGAGGGCCCCAAGAGAGTTTCACGTCGCGAAGGGGCCACGACCACCTGTACCCCAGATTTCGTAATAAAAGGGAGGGGGTCTGGACCCTCCAAGACAAGCCATTTCAGACCTCCTCCGTGGGAGAACCCTCCAGAACATCGTCCCCAGAACCCCCCAGGCCCTCCAAGATAGCCTGGAAGAGACCCCCCCCGAAATGAGACCCCCCTCCCTTTATTACGAAATCTGGAGTACTTGAGGCCACGCTGCTCCCAAGACGACCTCGTGAGGGCTCCTCCGACGCCGAGGAGCCGCCACAGAGCTCCAGAGGACTTCCGACAAGGGCCCAACCGGAGCACCCCCAGGGCCCCCTCCTCCTCCTCCTCCTCCTCCTCCTCCTCCCTCCTCCTCCTCCTCCTCCTCCTCCTCCTCCTCCTCCTCCTCCTCCTCCTCCTCCTCCTTCTTGGGGCATCCCCGAAGAGCTTCAGACGAGTCCCAGGAGGTCCCCGCCAGCCCTCGGCCAGCCTCGCCAGGCAGGGAGTTTCACATTTGTGTGCTGCGGCCGCTGAGATTCAGGAGGGAAAAAATACACAGACACAAAATCCTCCTCCTCCTTTTTCTCCTCCTCCTCCTCTCCTCCTCCTCCTCTCCTCCTCCTCCCTCTCCTTCCTCTCCTCCTCCTCCTCATCTTCCCCCTCCTCCTCCCCCTCCTCCTCCTCCTCCTCTCCTCCTCCTCCTCCTCCTCCTCCTCCTTCTCCTCCTCCTCCTCCTCCTCCTCCTCCTCACCATCCTCTTGGCTTGGCTCGTCGACTCCCCAGAAAATATGGGAAGATATGGGAAGTGGGTGGGGGAAGACAAAAACCCAACACCTGGTCCGAAAACATGGGGAATCCTGTTATTTTTGTGTGCATCTATTTGTGGGTGTCCCAGGGCCCCTGCAGAGAGTGCCACTGAGTGGCTCGCATCGGGGTCTTCGGCGCGCTGCTGGGATCGCCCTCCTGAGGGGGGCCGTGGCATAGGGTGCCGGCTGCGAGAAAGCAAGGCGGACAGCACAAACGGTGGACAGACGCCTGATGACGACATAATGTTTTCCACAGCCCGGCGCAAGGCCGGAGGTGTAGGAGCGCTCCTGACACTTCTGTGGGCTGTCTCTCTCTCTCTTTCTCTCTCTCTCTCTCTCCTGGGGGGGGCAGCGGGCTTCTCATGCTCTTCGCCGTTGGAAAAAGACTTGCTGTGCCTCGCCTCGTCGGCATCTCTCCGTGGCCGGCCAGGGGCGGTCGCCTCGCGCCACGCTCGGCCCACGGGCCAGGGGGGGGGGACGTGTGGCGACGTGGGGCCCGGGGGGAGGGAAAACCATTGTTACTCCAGATTTCGTAATAAAAGGGAGGGGGTCTCAACCCTCCCAGACGAGAAGTTTTAGACCCCCCCCCCGTGGGAGAACCCTCCAAAACATCGTCCCCAGACCGCCCCAGGCCCTCCAAGATAGCCTGGAAGAGACCCCCCCCCCCCCGAAATGAGACCCCCCTCCCTTTACTACGAAATCTGGAGTATTCGGGAGCCTTGAGACGGGGGTCAATGCAGACGGGGGTCAGCCAGAGCGCCAGATCCTGCAGGATCCTGCGAAGACCCCCTCTGGCCGACCCGGGTCAGCGAGCCGCTCGTGGCCGCGAGGCGGGGCCGCGCCCATCGGCCGACCCGGGTTTGCGAAGACCTGCGTGGCAGTTTTGTTTTGTTCCTGCAGTGCAGTTTTAGTTTCCTGCTGACCCGGGTCTGGATTGACCCGGGTCAGAAGATCGCCGAGTTATCCGAAGGGGAGGGGGGTGGTGGTTCCAGCCGTTCGTGTCCGCTCGTTGTGCGCCTGGCTTTTTTCTAGCCATGCTCGGGGCCACTGGCCACCGGAGGTGTGCACACGCAGAGGCCAGCAGAGTCGCTTGCGAGGGAGGTGTCTTGTGCTGGTGTCCGCGAGAGGTCGGCATGTCCTTCCGAAAAAGCCCCCCCTCACCTTCGAGGGTGACGGGAACATGGTATTCAAAGGGGCCGGTGCTTTCATCAGAGTCCCCTTGCCCTCTTAGCGCGCCGCCAAGTCCAACAGAGCGTTGAGCATGGCGCAGGGTCCTGTGGATTTCAGGGCGGGGCACCCGGAGCATTTGGCGGGGTGCTGCGCTGAACCATCCAGGGGACGTCGCTTCTCTTCCCACGCTCGCTCGCTCACTTCCTCGGAAACTGGAGCATGTACATTGCCAGTGGCGGGCGGTGTTTCAATCCCAGGACTTTTTTTAGGGTCGGGGACGACGTCGGGGTGGTGTGGTGTATATTTGTTTCTTCGTTTTCCCGTGGAAACAACAAAACATGTATACACCGGGATGCCGTATACACCTTAATCCGTTATCTTGTGCGAATCCCAGTGCGGGACCGGAAATGCCATCGGCATATAAAGTTAGTGTTTTTTCCTCTCTCATTCTCTCCTCTCCGATCCACACCGCTCCCCTCCCCATCTCTCACCTTCTCGAGTCCCTCCGCCGTTCGGAGAGCCTCCCGTAGCTTGTAAGAGCGAGCGCCGATCCTTTGCAGAGCTTCTCCGATGGAGCCAGCGGCCGATGCGGCCTCTAGGCAGTTTATCAAGAGGGGGGAAACACTTTTTTGGTCGGCGGGTCGAGAGCGGGCCTCTTCCGGTTAAGAGCTAGGCGGGGCGCGCGAAGCACTAATTGTGGAGACAGGGCGCGGGCGGGCGGGGAGGAGGGGGAAACACAGACAGACACAAGAATCGTCGACTCCCAGGAAAAGATGGGAAAATATGGGACGTGGGGGGGAAGACGAGAATACAAAAACATGGAGAAAAATGTGTGATCCTGGGCTGTGTATGTATTTCTTTGAACGTGCCCCAGGGCCCCTTTAATAAGTCCAGTGGAGCGGGTGCGGTCCGCGCTGGCGCCTTTTCTCGAGCTGCGCGGAGACCCTGACCTTCCAGAGAGCTATTTTTAGCACTGGAGACCTAAAAACCTAGGAAGCTGAGCGAAACAGCTTAAAACCAAGACGTAGAATAGCTTTGGGATAGGTCTTTAAGTCGGGTGCTATTTTTTTAGCCCTCCTGGAAGGTCAGGGGAGAGAGACCCGAGGACCGAGCACCAAGCCGACCTACGCCGACATAGCCGCGGCGGCCCGGGTGGACAAGAGTCCCGCCCTCAGCGGGACCCCGACCGCGGGCCGGCCTTAAGAGTCGGGCACGCCCTTCTACAGGAGGCACATGCAGCAATAGCCCACAGATAGTCGGGGGACGGATGTTCTCGTATGCTGTTTTCTGTGGCATGTTTTTTTTTTTTTTTTTGCCTATTTTCAATTGTTCGCCCAAAGCCCGCCTGTAGTTGGACATGCCCGACCTCTAATGCCAGCCCCACTCGCCAGCGGCTCGTCCGTCGGCGCGGGTCTCGCCGCGTAGGATGGGCGAGGCACACTTGCGCCCGATCCAGGCCGCGATCATCAGAGCCCCGGTCGCCCACCGACGGAGGGGTCGTTCGATAGTGGATCTGGCCGAGCGGCCGGACGTGGACGGACTGCGCAGGCCTCGTCCCCAACGTCCTGGCGGCCATGCTGACGCGGTTCGGGGAGATTTGCATGCAGTACCCGCACAAGGTAGTGGCAATAGGATGCGATCTCTTTTGGGAGGGGGGCATGGTGACAGGCTGATCCTTGTGCGCTTTCATCGGGTCCTGATGCACCTCCCAGCTAGATCGTGTGTCGGTGTCGCTTCACGTTCTCCTTCTTCTTCTTCGCCTCCCCGCTTCCTGCTTGCTTCAGTCCCTTCGCCTGCATGTGCAAAGAGTCCGTGGTTGGTCTGCGTGCTCCTGCGGAGGCATAATTACGCGCACCAGAGCCTTGTGTGCCCGCTTCACTCTTGGGCCCCCTCCTGCGGACAAGGCGTTGCCCAGCATCCTCACCCTCCTCCTGCCCCTCCTGTATTATCGTCCAGTCCTTGATCTTCCGTGCCGTTCTCCCTTTCCCCTCCTCCTTCGTCCTTCTTCTCCCTATCCCCCCCTCCCCGCCGCCCAGAACTCCCTTGGATGCCGACAATCCTACCAAGTGCTTCGGAGCGTCTGGAAGAGTCCCTGCTCCTCGCAGGCTTGTCAGCCAAATCACAGAGCAGACTCTGGCCCTGGCGCCCGAAGGGGCACGATCTCGCACGTGAAGATGGGTAGATGGAGGAGGGGAAAAGGGGGGAGGAGTTGTGAGGAGCGCGAAGGAGGGGCCAGGTATAATCAGGCGGAGAAGTATGTAGAAGGCATGATGGGGCAAAGGAGGACCTGGAGAGAGAGGTGGAAGGAGGGCTGCTGGGAAGGTGTAGGAGGAGGCGGAGGAGGCGGAGGACGAGGAGGACCAGACCAGAGCTTCGGCGTGAGTTTCATCTTGGAACAGTCTTCTGGAACCGGCCATCTTTCCATCCGTGCAAGTGCTGGAATATGTTGAGATGAATGTGCTCGGTGCTGAAATCAAGTCGAAGTTCAGCCCCGTTCCAGACACGAGGGGGCACCACGATGGGGCCGCGGGGTGGCAGCATCGAAAATCCAACTTCGCCCCACACTGTGGGGGACCGCAAGCCGCGTGTCGGCCTAGTCCAAAGTAGATCATCACCATACATTGGCATGATTGCTGCTAAAGTCAATGCTTGCACAGCCCCCGTCCAGGCTGAGACGCAGCACGTGCGGCAAGTGGTCGGAGGCGGGCTCAGTGGCGGCATGGAACAGGTGCGGCCCAAGGCAACGCTCTGCGCAAGAAACTGGCGCGGTCCACGCACCCTTCCACCATCAGGTGGTTGACTCTGGTTCGCACGTCCCAGAAGCTGCGCAGCTAAAAGAGTTACCGCAATAATAGGATTCCCTCGACAAGTGGCGATGTATCTCCACTTGGACGACGTCGAGCAACTTGAAACAACCCAAACCTTAACACTGGGTCGTCGTCTCGACGACCGCTTCCTTAAGCGTTTGTGGGCAAGGAGAGTTGACGATATCTCTAGCTGGGGTCGCACAACGGCAGGCTCGCAGTTTGCCAAGGGAGGCGAAGCTTTGCATGTTTAAGTCTGCACACATGGATGCACTTCTCCCTCGTGCCTGCACAGCAAGCCCAGAGGGAGGGTGTGACCTAGGTCTCCACACAGCGCGGGCACTCCAGCTCGAGTGTTGCTAGAAGTGCCCCTGGCCCAAGGCCACCAGGACTCCCAAGGAGGCCCCCATGGCTTCCAGAGCACCCCTCACGAGGCCCAGGGGCTCCAGACTGGAGCGAAAAGCTGGTGGCACCTCGGGCCAGGGGCACATTTAGCAACCCACGACCGGGCCCCGTTGGCCCAGACAGCTCGGGGAAAGCGACCCCCACGTTCACCAGCTTTGACGGGGTCGGGCCGCCCTGCGCAGCAGCAAGCTGTGGCGCTGTTCCCGCGCCCGCGGCACCGCCCGACCTCCTGCGGCAACGGAGCTCAGTGCCCCTGCCGTCCGCGCGACCGACCACACAGGGGGCGGTCCAGAGGTGGCCTCGCCTCCGAGGCTCGAAGGAGCTGCCACCTCTTCCTCGGCGGAGGGGAGCGGAAGTGAAGAGGGGGCGGCTCCGCAGGCGGAAGTAAGCGTCGGCCTCCCAAGAGGTGGCAACATCTTTGGGTTCAGGGTCCCTGGAACCCTCCACTGAGCCGCCTATGATCCGATCCGATGCGACTCGATTCGCCCGTTGGTGCCGCGATTCAAATTCGATGCGATCCGGCTCTATAGACTGGCATCGGCCAGGGCCAGCCGGAAGCGGGGCGCGGCGATTCGATGCCGATTCGATTCGTGACGATTCGCTGGTGATTCGATTCGCTCTCGATCCGATCCGATTTCGCGATCCGATCCAGCGCGTGGGCAGGTGTCCGTGAGGCCAACAGATCGCGCCTTGGATGGCGCGCCGAGCCCACGTCTGGAGTGGCCCGCCCGGCCTGGTGCGCGCGCCTGCAGGTATCCGTGTCGCGATGGGGATCAGACCGGCTCGGACACAGCGCCAAAGGGCACATATCAGGAGGGACAAAACACACACAGACACAATTAATCGTCGAGTCCCTAGAAAGTATGGGAAAATATGGGAAGTGGGGGGAAGACATAAATCCAGAAAGTATAGAAATAGGACATCCGTTTATTTGTGTCTATTTATTTGTGTGTCCTTGGGCCCCTTCAACGTATTGGTTTTTGAGCACGCACCCAATCTTTTTGGGGAAGACTGCCCTGCGTCCGCGGGGTTGTTGTCCCGAACACACGCGGTTCCTGGACTGGGCTGTTCACCGTTGTGTGCAGTTGGCCACAGAGTGTGCTAATCACTTGGCGTCGAGTGCGCACTGAGGAGTCTAAGTGTACAGCAGTGGTCTAGGTAGTGTACACAGTAAGTCTCCCGCAGCACCGTTGCATCACTGCAGGCCATGGCCCCTCGCAGCTCCTCGCTGTCGATGCTGTCGGCCGTGCTGATCACCCAGCCACCGCGCACGAACGTCCACGATGGTGCCACGGGCCCGCGGCGCAGTCGTAGGCCCGACCAAAGCTCACACGCACACGAGGAATCACTGCGGGGCCACGGGCCCGCGTTCAAGAGAAATGTTCAATCAGTTGTTTGTTTGTTTGTTTTGTCTCTCCCTCGATGTGTACGTTGTGTATCTATAGGTAGAGATGCGAGTATACACGTACATGACTACCCTTCGTTTGAAAAGGAGGCTTACGTTGGGGGATCTGTGCAGGTTTCGCTTTGCGATTGGCGTCAAAATCGGATGACGGATCAATCAATCCATATAGATTTGGTCTCCCCATACATGGGTCCACACGATCAATCGGTTCCCATATATTGGTACATCCATCGCGGTGATTTCTCCCTTTCTACACATAAAGATGTATATATCGTGTGTATGTGTATATCAGTATTTCTATGTGTTTGTCCTCTATCTCCCGCACTATCTCTCTCTCTCTCTTTCCACATACCTCTTCTTGTTTTTTGTTTGTTCTTTGTTGCTTTTCTCTATATCTCCCTCTCTCTCTCTCTCTCGCTTTTGTTCTCTCTCTCTCTCTCTCCCTCTTTCATAGTTCTCGTCTGTCTGATCTCTCCCTCTCTCTCTCACTCTCTCTCTCTCTCTCTCTCTCTCTCTCTCTTCTTTTTTTCCTCATTACACAACTGTACACATACGTCGTGCACACCAAGGCGCTCGGGAGCGGGGTGCAACGGGGGCCACAGGCCACAGGTCGATCAAGAGGAACGGCCAGCCTCACCACAGACCTCCAGGTTAGAGGAGGAGGAGGAGGAGAACGGAGGATGAGGAGGAGGAAGAGGAAGAGACAGATGGTGACATGGATGAGCAGGAGGGCGAGCATGAGGAGGAGGAGGAGGAGGATAATGGAGAGGACGAGGAGGAGGAGGAGGGGGCGGATGAGGAGGAGGAGGACATATAAAGATGATGGTGATGTTGATGATGATGGTGATGATGAGGATGATTATGATGATGGTTATGATGATCATCATGATTATGGTAATGGTGATGGTGACGATGCTGATCATGGTGATGGTGGTGATGGTGGTGATGATGATGATGCTGATGCTGATGTTGACGATGGTGAGGATGGTGCCCTTGGTGGTGATGTTCATTATCATAATCATTACGGTGATGGTCATGATCAAGATCATGATCATGAACATGATGATACTGATGACGATTGTCATGATGATGCTGCTGATGCTGATGATGGCGACGATGATGATGCTGGCGATGATGAGGATGGTGATGAGGATGCTGATGATGATGCTGATGATGATGATGAGGAGGATGATGATGAGGATGATGATGATGTCGACGGCGACGAGGACGACGACGACGACGATGATGATGCTGATGCTGATGATGACGATGATGATGCTGATGATGATGAGGAGGAGGAGGAGGAAGATGAGGAGCAGGAGGAGGAGGAGGAGCGGGGTGAGGGTCGAGGAGGAAAGGCCAGACTTGGTATGTTGGCCTTGCCGCCGACTCCCCTCGTAACGCATGCGGTGCAGTCTTCCCAACCGCCTACAAGATTCCAGCGTGGCCGGTTGGCCACTGTCAGGGGCCATGGGGCCAGGATCTTAAATCTAATCTTTAGCGACTCGACAAACACGCGCCGCAGGCTTCCTGCACTTCTCCCCGTCTGAGGGCCGCTTCCACACTTGGGGACCGCATCGGGCCCTCGGGAAGGGCTCGAGAGGGTCGGCGACTCGACAGAGCCGGGTTGTCAGAGGCCAGTGCGGGGAAAAGGCCACAGCACTGACGAGGACGAGGAGGGGGAGGGGGAGGAGGAGGCGGAGGAGGAGGAGGAGGAGGAGGAGCAGGAGGAGGAGGAAGAGGAGGAGGAGGAAGGAGGAGGAGGAGAAGGAGGAGGGGGGGAGGAGGAGGGGGAGGAGGAGGGGGGAGGAGGGAGGAGGGGGAGGGGGAGGAGGAGGAGGAGGAGGATCTGCCGATTCTGACAGTGCGCGGGTGGCCTGCGTGCTTGCTTTTCAGGGCCCGCCCCTCTGGGCTTGCCCCACCGGGTCCCGAGCGCCGCCCCCGCTGCCAGACTTCGGCGCCCTGGGCGAGATCCGCTGCGACAGCTCGCTCGTGGAGTTCGTGCCCGCGCGGCGGCGGCAGCCCGTGGCGCCCGCCACGACGCAGCCGCAGGAGGGGCAGATTTTTGCTTCGATCGGGGCGCACGTGGCGTGGGGGGGGGCTCCTCCTCCTCCTCCTCCTCCTCCTCCTCCTCCTCTCCTTGTCCTGCTCCTCCTCCTCCTCCTCCTCCTCGTCCTCCTCCTCCTTTTCCTCCTCCTCCTTCTCCATCTTTCCCATTGTCATATTTATCCTATTCCTCCTCCCCCTCCTCATCCACCACCACCTCCTTTTTTGCTTTTCTGTCTTCTCTCCCTCTGCGCTCCAGTAGATGGACAATAGATTCGAACCCTTACACATTCGAGGGAGATTCTGAATCACCCCCGCGCCCCCGACATCAATGCTGATCTCAGTAAAGGCGGTGCTTTGGGGGGGAGGGCCCTAGGGGGCCACATGCGAACCCTACCCCTACCTCCCACGATTTCTAAGGGGGAGGGTGGGGTTCACTCCGTTGGGGAGCTCCCGAGCGGAGTGAACCCCACCCTCCCCCTCAGAAATCGTGGGGGGTAGGGGTAGGGTTCGCATGTGGCCCCCTCAGGGCTCTGCGCTCCCAGCCGAATCCCTGGCAGCAGGACTGGCGCTCTGAGCTGGTTTCTTTTCGTGTGGCTGGTGGAGGGCAGGCAGTTGCAGGATGATGATGAGGAGGAGGAGGAGGACGGAGCGGAGGAGGAGGCGAAGGAAAGCGCGAAGGATGAGGGGAAGGGTCGAGGGGGACTGGGGGTGGGCGTTTTGTTGTTTGGGGGGTGCTGGGGATGTATTGTCTAGCTCCGTCTTGTCTCTCTCCTCGCCCCCCCCCTTGCCTTCCTCACTGACTGCTTCACCCTGGGCCACGGCATTATGTCAAAGTGTATTCCTCTTCGCCCGGAAGTCCACGCGCGTCGAGCACACACGCACACAATGATTGATGTACATGTGCCGGGACCAATGTCAAATCACAAACGTATTTGGTCCGTGTTGATTACAGACGATGCAATCACATGGCTTGTACGGGTGTAACGTCACGGCGATAATGCACAGTTTCCGATTAGGGCGGGCATGTGGCAACGTGGAAACACAGTGGCTAAAGTCATGTTGAGGTTTGGCAGTGGGCGAAGTCTCGTGAGGGTACACTTGGTTATAATGTGGCTGGCCTGAACAACGGCGTCCAACAATGCTGTGCACATGCGACACCGATGGTGAGTGCCTCGCGGGTACACTGGCAAGAAGCAGTCTTGCGGCGCACTTGTCCTTTTTCATAACATGGGCGTTCAGTAGCACAACGTACATCTTGTGGTGTACCTTGTGGCCCGGTATGTTGCATAGGGCCGACTCATGTAATGTAAATCAGTGGCCCCCATTGTGAACCGTGAGTGAGTACATGAGGTCTGAATTGTGTTTTGGGGAATGCCAGTGGCAATGCAACGACAGTTCTTTCTGAGCAGTGTTTTGCGGAAGAGTTGTGAAACCAAGGTGCTTCATTTTTGTTCCGTCGCAGCGCGGCAGAGGCAGTCCGCTCGCGCGCTCGGGCACCATAGTGTTTCACAGGCGGTAGATAACAAGTATTGCAACCACGGTTCTCCACTTTCGCTTGAGAAGCTCACTAACGCCATCCAACCCGCAAAGTGCATTGCTTTTGGACACTCGGGCGCGGGTGACGACCTGACAAGCCATAGTTGTCGCACTCTGAAGTGTCGCAGCCGTGTCTGCATGGTGCCTCAGGCGTTCTGGATCTCGGAGGGGCCATGCCAAATCAATGTTGACATGCAGCTTTTCCTGCTCTCAGTAGCGAAATTTCCCGTTCCCACGTTCTTCGGAATTGTTGCGCTCCTGACTTCTCTTCCACCTCGTCCTCCTGGGTCTGCTGATGCATCGTTGGGCCCCCTTCCCATCTGTCAGGAAGCTGGTGCATGTCGTGTCGAGTTGCATCGGTGAAGACAGGGCAGGTTGTCCTCTCCCGAGTTCATTTCTGGCGGGCCGCAGGCAAGGTCGATGGCGGGGCCGAGGCGGGGCCTGCCGGGACCATGCGTCCGTGGCCAGGCGGGATGCCGGCGTCAGCAAACAGTATCGTTGGCATGAGAAACATGTCGGCTCCGAGCGCACCGTCCGCGCGATGCTAGCTCGGCGCCAGCTCGGTCAGCAGCGGGAGGCATGCAAATCTGACATACCGATCGCAGTGCACCCTCTGGCAGGGGACCGGGGCGAATGTGCAGGATCGGGAGCAGGTGTATGAGGAGGAGGACAATGATGACGTGAAGGTTAGGGAGCAGCAGCAGCATTCGGAGGATACACGCTGGCCTCACACCCATGAGCCCTTGTGGTCACTGGTGACAGCAATGAGGGCCAGGCGTGTGGTGTTGTCGAGTGATTTCCAGAGCCGCCCGTCGGCTGGCTTACCTGGCTGATTGTCTTGGCTGTCAACGTATTCGCCTGTCAGAGCTGTAGACTTTTGAAGCTTGGAGACTCTGGGGTGGCGTGGGGGGGTAGGAGGCGGAGGAGGAGGAGGAGGCGAAGGCAGATCTATGTGGTAATGCGATTCGCATCGAACTTGACATTTCGCGTTCTGATAGGCTCCGCCAGTTGCAAGCTGAGCTTGCCGCGGCCACTGTTGGGATACTGCCGCTGCCATGGATAAGAGAGGTGCAGGTGTGAGACTTCGGACTGATTGCCTGGTCACGCTCGAGGAGGAGGCGGAGGAGAAGGAGATGGTGGTGGGTGGAGGTAACCTTGTTTGTGCCTACTCCGTCAGGGCATCCTGGCCAAGGTCCCTTATGAGCCTCTCCTTGTTCAACCTTGCTTCGTCTCTCTTCTTACCTCCCGGCTATCACACCATCTCCTCTCGAGTTGCATACGGTTCGTTTTGGGTTTTTCTCGCTTGCCCATAAGAGCCATGTTGCACGATGCTGTGAGCTCCGTTCAAAGTCTGCCGAACGCAAACTAAAAACGGAGGAGGAGGAGATGCCTCACGCTATCAGGAGTCAGAGGCAGATTGAGGAGGAGGAGGAGGAGGAGGAGGAGGAGGAGGACGAGGAGGAGGAGGAGGAGGACGAGGAGGAGGAGGAGGAGGAGCAGGAGGCCAGGCTGGCCACCTGGCTGCGGCGGGACTTCGGCCACCGGGCGGGATCTCAGGGATGAGGAGGAGGAGGGCGAGGAGGGCGAGGGAGAGCCGCGAGGCACGGAGTGCACGGCGCGACCGCGCGGCCGCAGCCGGCCCGCGTCGGCGCACCCGCACCCAGCGCGCGGGGCGCTCGCGCACCCAGCTCGCCTGGGAGCAGCGCCTCCGTGCCGAGAGCCGCGCCCTCCTGGCGCCGCGGGGAGGGAGGAGGCGGGAGGTGGGAGGGAGGGGAGGGGGAGGGGGGGGACGTCGGATCGAGGAGGGGGGGAGCGAGGAGGGAGGAGGGAGGGGGAAGGGGGAGGGGAGGAGCGAGGAGGGAGGGGAGGGGGGAGGGGGAGAACGTCGGATCGAGGAGGGGGGGAGCGAGGAGGGAGGGGGAAGGGGGAGGGGAGGAGCGAGGGGGAGGGGAGGGGGGGGGGGAGGGCAGGAGCGAGGAGGGAGGAGGGAGGAGGGAGGAGGGAGGGGGAGGGGGAGGAGGGAGGGGGAGGAGGGAGGGGGGAGGGGAGGGAGGAGCGAGGAGGGAGGGAAGGGGAGGGGGGAGGGGGGAGGAGAGAACGTCGGATCACCCCCGGCAGCCCGCTGCAGGTCTGGCGCCGCCCGCGCCCGCGGCCGGCGCTGCGGGCGGGAGCCCTTTTCCTGCAGGCCGCGCTGCTGCCCCCCTCCCTCGGCGGAACTCCTGCTTGAGCCGGGCACACCTCCTGCGGATCGTCGTCATCGTCGTCACCGTCCCTCTGCCTTCCTCCCTCCCTGTCCCCTTTCCGCTCTTGCCTGCTCTTCCTCGCCCTCCTGCCTCAACTCCATGTTTGCCTTTCTGTACCTCCACCTCCCCTGCTCCCCCGTACACGCCCCCTCCTCCTCCTCCTCCTCCTCATCCTCCTCCCTCCTCCCCTCCTCCACGCCCCACCCTCCCACCTCCTCCCCCCCTCGCTTACAGTCTCTCCCTCCCCGTGTCCTCGCTCGCTCCCGTCCCGTGCCGTCCCCTCCCTCCCTCCCTCCCTCCCCGGGTCGGGAATGGGACTTCTTGTTCTGAATTTCTTCACTCGGTGCCCGTGCAGATGGCTTTTGTGTGCGCTCTGCTAGCTGCAGGGCCGCCCACACGCGACAGCCAGATGGTTCAACACGCGCGCCATCCCCCAAAAAACCTCCTCCCGCCTCCTCCTCCTCCTCCTCCTCCTCCTCCTCCTCCTCCTCCTCCCGCCTCCCCCCTTCCCTCGCCCCGCGGGCCGCGGAGGCTCCAGAGAGGGAGCCCGTGCCCCCTCCGGGGCCTCTGCGCGGCAGCCGGAGGGGGCCCGTCCGCAGGCAAAGCCGTCGCATTCAAAACAACATTAAGAAAATTACTCCGACGGTACGACCCCACATGAGAATCTGTTGAGCTTACCCTTTGCCCTTTCCTCCTCCCCCTGGCGGACACCCTCTCCTCTCGCCCCCTGCACTGCCCTCTCTTCCCCCTTCTATTTCTCTTCCTCCTCCTCTTTATCCTCCTCCTCCTCCTCCTCCTCCTCCTCCTCCTCCTCCTCCTCCTCCTCTCGCGCCACCTCCTCTTCGTCGTCGGCCTCCCCCATGCCCCTTCCCTCCTCATCCCCTTGCCTTTTCTCCATGTGCACCTCCCCCTCCCCCTCGTCGAGGCAAGCAAATCCATTTTCCTCAGCGCCGTCGCCGCTTCGGCCAACGCCTCGGGAAGCGGGCCCCATAGGGAGGGGGCTCCCGCCTGAGACTTCCTCACAATTCACTCACAGACGAGGCTCCCGCTCGAGACTTCCTCCATATTCAGGTCTCAAGAGCCCAAAAGTGACGACAGTTGCACGTTTCGGATGACTCGCTCAGATTCGAACATGAAGTGCGGGCCCCATCGGGAGGGGGCTCCCGCCTGAGACTTCCTCACAATTCACTCACAGACGAGGCTCCCGCTCGAGACTTCCTCCATATGCAGGTCTCAAGAGCGCAAAAGTGGCGACAGTTGCACGTTTCGGATGACCCGCTCGGATTCGAACATGAAGCGCGTGCCCCATCGGGAGGGGGCTCCCGCCTGAGACTTCCTCACAATTTACTCACAGACGATGCTCCCGCCCGAGACTTCCTCCATATTCAGGTCTCAAGAGCCCAGAAGTGACGACAGTTACACGTTTCGGATGACCCGTTCGGATTCGAACATGAAGTGCGGGCCCCATGGGAGGGGGCTCCCGCCTGAGACTTCCTCACAATCCACTCACAGACGAGGCTCCCGTTCGAGACTTCCTCCGTATTCAGATCTCAAGAGCCCAAGAGTGACGACAGTTGCACGTTTCGGATGACCCGCTCGGATTCGAACATGAAGTGCGGGCCCCATCGGGAGGGGGCTCCCGCCTGAGACTTCCTCACAAGTCACTCACAGACGTTGCTCCCGCTCAAGACTTCCTCCGTATTCAGGTTTCAAGAGCCCAACAGTGACGACAATTGCACGTTTCGGATGACCCGCTCGGATTCGAACATGAAGCGCGGGCCCCATAGGGAGGGTGCTCCCGCCTGAGACTTCCTCACAATTCACTCACAGACGAGGCTCCCGCTCGAGACTTCCTCCATATTCAGGCCTCAAGAGCCCAAAAGTGATGACAGTTGCACGTTTCGGATGACCCGCTCGGATTCGAACATGAAGTGCGGGCCCCATCGGGAGGGGGCTCCCGCCTCAGACTTCCTCACAATTCACTCACAGACGAGGCATTAATTACCCCGACGGTAGGACCCCACATGAGAATCTGTTTAGCTTACCCTTTGCTCTTTCCTCCTCACCCTGGCGGACACCCTCTCCTCTCGCCCCCTGCACGGCCCTCTCTTCCCCCTTTTATTTCTCTTCCTCCTCCTCTTTCTCCTCCTCCTCCTCCTCCTCCTCCTCCTCCTCCTCCTCCTCCTCCTCCTCCTCTTCTCGCGCCACCTCCTCCTCCTCGTCGGCCTCCCCCATGCCCCTTCCCTCCTCATCCCCCTGCCTTTTCTCCATGTGCACCTCCCCTTCCCCCTCGTCGGGGCAAGCAAATCCATTTTCCTCAGCGCCGTCGCCCCCTCGGCCAGCGCCTCGGGAAGCGGGCTCCATAGGGAGGGGGCTCCCGCCTGAGACTTCCTCGCAATTCACTCACAGACGAGGCTCCCGCTCGAGCCTTCCTCCATATTCAGGTCTCAAGAGCCCAAAAGTGACGACAGTTGCACGTTTCGGATGACCCGCTCGGATTCGAACATGAAGCGCGGGCCCCATAGGCAGGGTGTTCCCGCCTAAGACTTCCTCGCAATTCACTCACAGACGAGGCTCCCGCCCGAGACTTCCTCCATATTCAGGCCTCAAGAGCCCCAAAGTGACGACAGGTACACGTTTCGGATGACCCGCTCGGATTCGAACATGAAGCGCTGGCCGCATAGGGAGGGGGCTCCCGCCTGAGACTTCCTCACAATTCACTCACAAACGAGGCTCCCGCTCTAGACTTCCTCCAGACTCAAGTCTCAAGAGCACAAAAGTGACGACAGTTACATGTTTCGGATGACCCGCTCGGATTCAAACATGAAGCGCGGGCCCCATCGGGAGGGGGCTCCCGCCTGAGACTTCCTCGCAATTCACTCACAGACGAGGCTCCCGCTCGAGACTTCCTCCACACTCAGGCCTCAAGAGCCCAAAAGTGACGACAGTTGCACGTTTCGGATGACCCGCTCGGATTCGAACGTGAAGTGCGGGCCCCATAGGGAGGGGGCTCCCGCCTGAGACTTCCTCGCAATTCACTCACAGACGAGGCTCCCGCTCGAGACCTCCTCCATATTCAGGCCTCAAGAGCCCAAAAGTGACGACAGGTACACGTTTCGGATGACCCGCTCGGATTCGAACATGAAGTGCGGGCCCCAGAGGGAGGGGGCTCCCGCCTGAGACTTCCTCGCAATTCACTCACAGACGAGGCTCCCGCTCGAGACTTCCTCCATATAAAGGTCTCAAGAGCCCACAAGTGACGACAGTTACACGTTTCGGATGACCCGCTCGGATTCGAACATGAAGTGCGGGCCCCAGAGGGAGGGGGTTCCCGCCTCAGACTTCCTCGCAATTCACTCACAGACGAGGCTCCCGCTCGAGACTTCCTCCATAGGCAGGCCTCAAGTCAGCGAGTAGTGGTGATGATGATGATGATGATGATGATGATGATGATGAGATGATTATGATTATGATTATGATTATGATGGTTATGATGATCGTTCGGTGCCGATGATGGTGAGTGATCGTGCGATGGTGATGGTGATGCTGATGGTGATGATGATGATGACTGGGGAGTGATGGTGATGGTGATGATGACGCGGAGGACGAAGCAAAGAGGAGCAGAGGAGAGGGAGGAGGAGGAGGAGCAGGAGGAGAGATCCTGCGCGGAGGGTGTGCAGAGAAAACAAGAACCCCACTTAGGATATGGGGAATGATGATGATGATGATGATGATGATGATGATGATGATGATGATGATGATGATGATGATGCTGATGCTGATGCTGCTGATGATGATGATGATGATGATGAGTATGTGAGTGACTGAGCGTGTGAGAGAGCGCGAGCGATGATGCTGATGTTGATGATGAGAGAGTGTGAGTGAGTGTGAGTGTGAGTGAGTGGTGATGATGATGATGATGAGTGAGTGAGTGAGTGTGCGAAGGCAGAAGAGGAGATGGGGTGGGGTGAGGGTTCCTGCGCGGGGTGTGCAGAGAAAACAAGAACCCCACTTTGGATGTGGGGAAGACAAAACCTCCTTCTCCTCCTCCTCCTCCTCCTCCGCCTCCGCCTCCGCCTCCGCCTCCTCCTCTTCCTCCTCCTCCCTCCTCCTCCTCCTCCTCCTGGGGGTCGACGTTATGACACAAACCATGACGTCGGGGGTCTGGAGGCGGTCGCCTTCGGCGACGCGCCTCCTTCTTTGCACCACCCGCTCCTTCCCCTCGCCACCAGCGCCCGTCTCCGACGCCCCGGTGCCCCTCGTGCCCCTCCCCTCCCCCCCCTCCCCTCTCGCGCACATGTGTGGGAGTTTGCAGGGGTTTGCTGGCGTGCACGGTTGCACATCGTTGCGCCTGCATCCAGCAATTGCAGGCAATAGGCAATTGGCACGCGCGCGTGCGCGTATGAGCAATGGTACTGAATGCCACTGGTTGTGGTGCTGACTGGGGCCATTGCCGCGATCGCAGGCATTTGCGAGGCCCCTGGCTAGTTTTTGTTCGTATATGTCAAGAGTTTTGGCTATGCTTGAACGTTGCCGCGGCATGTAGCTAGTTAAAGGTGGTAAGCGCGGTGGTGGTCACTTGAATATGATTATCATGGTTGTAAGTGTTTGTGTGTTCACGTCGCATGCGGATGCAGTTTGGCAGTTTGGTCACATCGTAGATGACCATCGCAAGTTGATCCGACTGCTGGTGCAAGTATCTTCGCGCCAGTGGAGCCGCTTGTAATCTAACGTGGTCAGTTCGCACACTTGCACGTCAGAGTTGTTCAAATCTCAACTGGCGGTCGCAGATGTTGCTCACGTGCTGGGGCAGTGTATACATTTACATAACGCGCATGTGTTGCGTGACTTACTGTAAATAGACGCGCCCAGTTCACCTGTCAATATGGTTGCAGACAGTTGCCGCTGGCTTCTTCTAATTGTTGTGTTGTATATAATGTATTCGAAAAGGTCCACAAATTGAAGCCGAGTAGTGCCACAGCTGGCCGCACGGGCATTTGCACTGCAATCCTCAAGGCTCAAGCAGGCCCAAGCTTATTTAGATTGTCAGACTCGCCATGCCCGAGCTGGCTCAAGGAGTATCGAATAGTCTCTTCCGCCAGGCCCAGCGTCCCGGCGCCCTGCCTGGAGTGCGCACTAGAATTGCATTGTGATTGCTCGCCAGTAGATACGGGCCAGTCCAAGGATCTTTTTTCACGAGCCTTCGAATCCGGTGGAGCAGACAGCGTTGATCCTCGGCACGTTCATGACAGGTATTGTTGTTGGTCTGCAGCTTGCACGTGGCATACCTGACTGTTCGTGGTGTCGACGTCAGATTCCAGAAGTTCGTGAACAGGTCGAATCTCGTGTCAAGCCACCCTTTGTCTCAGAACCCGCATGTGACCCCGATGAAGAAAACATCGCACTCCTCGCTCGGAGCCAGCAGTCTGCTTTCCGCAAGCGGCAATCCCTCGCTGATCTGTCGCGACTGATCGGTCGCGACCGAGATTGAAGCAAGTCGGTCGCGACCGCGATCGAAATTTGAAGCAAAGTCGGTAGCGACCAATCTCGTCGGTCGCGACTGGAAAGTTCTGGTATCCAATGATCAGGGATAGCGGCTCGTGGCGCTGGTCGGCTGCCCGAGGCATCTGGCGGTAAGTCGGGCCTGTCCCTCTGCAGGGGGGATATGCCAAAGTAGTCCACAAGTAGTCTGGGGACGACTTTTGGAGCATATGTTGGCCATTTTGGTGATATTTTTAGGGCTGTTTTTAATTTTTCGTCGAAAATCCCCCTGTAGGGGGACAGGCCCGACTTGAGGCCAGCGTCCCCGCGTGCGCGCGCGAGGGTCGCGATCGCCTGAATCGCGCACCTGCGCTTGCGCGAAGCGTTCCGGCCGATTCGCAGGCGCCTCGTCGCTCCCAGGGGCGCGGCTGGCCGCCGGCACAGCACGTGGGGCCTGCGGCTCCACTCTGGACGCCCAGCGTGGGTACGGAAAGACTGGGCACCATGCCCGACAGCAGCTCGCTGTCCATTCGGCACAGGGCTCGCTGTCCCACGCCGCCGCGGCCCGTGCCCCTTCGAGGCAGCAGGCCGCCTGCCCAACAGCGGCCGCTGTTGGTCTGGGACAACATTCCAGCCACGCGCAGAGGGGGGTAGGGGGAGGGGGGAGGGCTTCTTAAAAGCGCCGCTGCTTCTTAGAAGGCGCGGGCCCTATCTATAGATGTGAGGCTGGCGCCTTCTAAGAAGCAGCCTCCTTCTAAGAAGCCCTCCCCCCTCCCTCCACCCCTTTGTGCGCGCCGCCAAACATTTGCTGTTGGGCACAGCGCCCGTTTTTGTCCGTGCCCCTCTCGGGCGGCCAACTCCGCGCCGCGGCGCTCCGCGCGCGGTGCCACCCAGCTCGCTGCGCGGGGGCTGCGGCCGTGCCTCGCGAGGCGCCGATGAGGCCCCAGCCGCGCCGCACGGCGGCGGCGCGGCCGCGGGGCCGGCCGCGCCCAGAGGGGCGCGGCAGAGGCCGGCCGCTGGCGTGCCCCTGGAGGCGGCCGTGGTTCTCGAGGGCGGCTTCTTGCTTGGCCAGGTGTGGAGGGTGAGGCAAGATGTCGGTGCGAAGCACGGTCTATGTCACCCCACCAGAGCATTCCTTCCTTAGGCCTCACCAGAAGCGGCGGCTAGACAAGACGATCGCGCTGTGGACGCAGGACCACGAGCTCGTCTGCGAGAGTGCGCTTGGCAAACTGGCGCCGCCGCCTGGCGGCAGCAGCGGGAACGTCGACGGACACGCCGGCGTCTTCTTGCTCGGCCAGGTGGTCGCGGCGAGCGTCGCCCCTGTCATGGCCGAGGGGTGCGTGGACGCACCGTCCCAGGGGCGCCCTGTCCCTGCCTGGCGACCGCCCCGGGCGCCCCGGCCGCCTTGCCCCTCGCGGGGGTGCAGGCGAGCTGCCATGGAGGCGAGGCGTGGAGGTAGTAAGTGTCTGCAGCGCGCGGGCCGCGCCGGGGGCATCCTCCTCCTCCTCTTCCTCCTCCTCCTCCTCCTCCTCCTCCTCCTCCTCCTCCTCCTCCTCCTCCCTCCTCCCCCTCCTCCCTCCTCCTCCCTCCTGCCTCCTCCCGCGCCCCGCGTCGATGCGGCATCGGACGTTCCTGGAGCTCGTCGGTGGCATTTCCGCATCGCGAGTGCAGCTAGCGAGCTTGGCCAGCGCCCGCTCACGTTCCATCTTTCCAGCAGTGCTCGTGAAGACCAGCCCGATGCCACGCTTCAGAGGGCTGTTCTTGGTTGCGCACCGTCTGGCCGCATTGCATCTCTCTGGCTGGGCACGCCGCGCGCGTCTTCACGCGAGCACTGCGGAGGCCTCTTCGTAACAGTGAATCTCCCATGGGCGTCGCCGGCGTGAATGAGTCAGAGCTGGAACGCCCCAGAATTGGCAGCTCAACGTTTGCGTTCAGTGTCCAGCTGATCAGAGCCTGCGCCGCTTCCAGCATTCCCGCGTTCTTCGAGAACTCTCGCATGCCGGTGATGTAGTGGACCCCATCATATGAAGAATGAATGAGTAGCCATACCTGACTCCACGCCTGTTGCGGTGTTCGCCAGCAGTGCGCCCCCTTGAAAAGACATGAAGCAATTTTGGCTTGGCGACAGCCTTGCCTCTCAGTAAGCGATGCAGTGGCGAATGTACGTTGCGTTTGTCTTGCAAGAAAGACGCATCGAGCCCTCTCGAAATGCGCCTGGCGGGTGTCAATGGACCAGCACTGCCAAGGTTTACCCTGTCCACATCGCCTCCGTTGCCGCGAAATGCATGGTCAACGCTGCTGAACATCTTCAGCGAGCGAAGAACGGTATAAAATAAACTTTCCGCCGTCGGGGACACCTGCCCCTGGGCGGCTGTAAAGTTTATACCCCTACGGTGCCACCGTAAGGGTATAAACTTCCCAGCCGCCCTGGGGCAGGTGTCCCCGACGGCGAGAAAGTTTATTTTATACTGTTCTTCTCTGGGGAGCGTAAGACCCGGGTTTGCCAGGACTCGGGTTCGCCATCGTTTTTTTGACGACCGCGCCTCGGATTTTGACGAGGAGGAGTTTCGTGGGATGTCTGCAGCGGGAGGCCTCGTCAAAATGCAGGCTCGGCCTCGTCATTTTTTTGACGACCTCGTCGGGGATTTCCGAGTCCCCTGTACCCAGGTCTTACGTCCCCCTGATCTTCGCCCGTGAACATCTGAATGCTCCTAGCCTCAGTAGTTTGGTAAAGGGGCCTGTGCTGCGGCCGGTCCCGGCCCTACCTCCCGTGCGGCATCGGGCGCATGCGGCCTCGTGTGCTCCACCGACCGCCGCAGGCCTCTCCTTCCGACTGCAGCGCCTGGATCCCGAGATCGGTGGCGGCCCCGGTGCGGTGCCTTCGCGCTCGCCGCATGGGGCAGAACAGCACCTCGTCAGCGAAGAGAGCGCCCAGACTGGAGGCGTCTCCTCCTCCTCCTCCTCCTCCTCCTCCTCCTTCTCCCCCTCCTCCTCCTCCTCCCCCTCTGGACGGGTTTTGGGGGCCCCCAAACGGTGCGGTGACCACACCGTGTGGTGAGCCGGTGGGGAGTCGGGGTCACCGCACGGTCTGGGGACTCGGCCCGTTATCCGAGGTCCCAAGGCCGTGCGTTGAGGCACCGTGCGGTGAGGCCTTGGGGGATTTCGAGGCCACCGCACGGCCTGTCACCGCACCGTTTCGGGACGCCAAAGTGTCACAGCGGGCCGCACGGGTAGTGGCGCCGCGATCCTCCAGGCTCTCTCGCCCACCCTTTATTTACCCACGCGCGTGTGCATGCGGTCCCGCGCGCTCTCTGCCGATCGCCGCTGTTCTTCTCGTCCAGCTGCCGTAGACATGTCGCTCAGTGACGGCCCCGATGCGGTGCCTCCGCGCTCGCCGCATTGAGAAAAACGTCATCTGGTCAGTAGAAAGAGCGCCCCAGCTATAGAGTACACATATATACATACATATACGGACAATGCGTATGTCCATATCCAGGGCGCCCTGGAGTTTGGGGCTCCCCGCCGCGGAAGACCCCGGCGCACTGGATATGGACAAATCTGAGCCCTAGGCTCGATTTGAATCCATATCCCGTGCGCCGTGCCCCTTCCAAGAAACTCCAAGACGCACTGTATATTGATACAGATGTTGTCCTCAACATACCACATATCGTATACTGTATTCACTTGTTGCCCTTGAACTCGTTTTCCTCTTGCCCTGCCCTGCCGATATTGTGGCACGATGTGTGATGCAGTCCCTCCTGCCCCACCTCCGTCGTCGCCTTCCATGTGCCCCGCCGCCCAGCTTCGGGCCCCTCGCCGAACGATGCCCTCGTGGACACAGCGTCGGTCTGCCCGGCCAGCGCCTTGGCGCGCGCGGCGTGTTTCTCGGCGGGTGAGAGGAGGAGGAGCAGGGGGAAAACGAAGGAGGAGAGGGGAGGAGGTTTGGGAGGAGGTAGAGGAGGAGGGTTGCGAGGAGGAGGAGGAGGGCTGCGAGGAGGGGGTGGAGGAGGAGGAGGAGGAGGAGGAAGAGGAGAAAGAGGAGGAGTAGAAGGAGGAGGAGGAGAAGGAGGAGGAGCGGAGAGAAGGAGGAGGGGAGGGCAGGCGGGGCTGGAGGAGGAGTAGGGTTGCGAAGAGGAGGAGGAGGAGGAGGAGGAGGAGGAGGAGGAGAAGGTGGCGGAGGGTTGGGAGGAGGGTTTGGAGGAGGGTTGGGTGGAGGAGGAGGAGGAGGAGGAGGAGGAGGAGGAGGAGGAGGGGGAACAGGCGGAGGGAGAGGGGAAAGACAGGGAGTGGGAGGGCAGTGCGGGGGTGGAGGGGCACGGATTCGCGGGGAGGACGAGGCATCCTTGCAGTCACTCCGCGCGCCGCCTCCCTTCTCTCCCCCACCCCACCCCGCACTCATCTGAGGAGGAGGAGGAGGAGGACTGCGAGGAGGCTGAGGAGTAAGCTGGCCAGATAAGAAGGCATAGGAGGAGGTGTATGCGGAGGAGGAGGAGGGCGGGTTAAGAGGTGAGGAGGACAGTGCGAAGTTCGGGGAGAAAGGCGCTTGCGCTGGCCGACCCAGCACCAAGGGGCAATCAGCCCGGAGGAAGTCCGGCGCAGCATCTGGGGGGGATGAGGGGTTGCGAGGGGAAGGAAGGGGGAACAGAGGTCGGGCTTGTGCGCAGGGGTGGTCTCAGGGTTCTCGGAGGGAGGGGTGGGGCGGCGGATGCGGGTCCTACACGTTGGTCGTTGAAAGTAGGTATTGTTGCATCTCCAGGTTCCAATCTACTTCTAGCGCCTTCCTACTTCAAGAGTCGGCATGGTTCTGACGTGTTCTGTGATTATGTGGGAGGGCCTGGACCCAGTCTGCTTGTTCCGCCTTCCTGCTTCATGTTTTTACCTTCTTCTTCTTGTTATTCTTCTTCTTCTTCTTCTTCTTCCGGCCGGCCTGTACGGGTCCATCTGGTTGGGGTGCGCCGAGAAGTCTGCTCCACGGGTTCATTGCCTTCCCCCTCTGTTTCGCCCGCCCTGCTGCTCTTCGTCCGATGTGTTGCGTCGTCTCGCGCTCGCCCCTCGTCCAGCAAGTGCCCCAGAGCATCCCCAGGGACTCATACACAGCCCGAGACCTGGCGTCGGGGCAACATCATTGGCACCCCAGGAGGACAAAGAGGAAGGAAGGAAGGCACGAGACAGGAGGAGGAGGAGGAAGAGGAGGAGGAGGAGGAGGAGGAGGAGGAGTAGGAGGAGGAGGAGGAGGCGGAGGAGGAGGAGGAGGACGGAGCAAAAGTGGGAGGAGGCGCAGGCGGAAAGGAGGATGAGGAGGCAGAGAAGATGACAGGTTTGATCTCGAGCCTCGCACGGCGTCCTTTCAGCGTACCAGGAGCAGCTGAACCTAGCTTTGTTTGACGAGAGAGAGAAAGAGAGAGAGAGAGAGACGGAGAGAAAGAGAGAGAGCGAGAGAGAGGGCATCTGTCAGCAAGATCTGCCAGCAGAGGAGTGTGGGGGGCACGGCCGAGGAGACAGCGCAGGAGCGCGGAGGACGGCAGACGGGAGCGGAGCCGAGAGCGGTGCAGAGGACACCAGAGCGGAGCACGGCGCCGCCAATGGCGGGGCGGGTGCGGAGCAGAGGGGGGCGGAGGATGCCGTGCGTGCGTGTGTGGGGGGGGGGGGGGAAGTGCAAAAGGGGAAGGCCTTCCCAGAAGGCTCGGAAGTCCCCCGGCCTGCTCGGAGGCTTTCTGGTTCTGGGCCTTCCCCGGAGGCGCAGCAAAGCTTGCAGAAGGCGCGAGCGAGGGCTTCCGGGAGGAGCCCCGCCGCCCTCCGAGGCGGCCTTCGCCTTCGCACGCCACCCCCCCCCTCGCCCGCCAGCGGGCGGCTGCGGCGCGTGCGAGCGGTCGAGCGGGGGAGCGCCAATGCGGCGGGGGGAGCGGAGGAGGGGCGCGCGGGTCGGGGCCGGCGGCGGCGCCGGGGGAGCCCGCTCGGGGAGCTCCAGGGAGCATCGCGGGGGGGGGGGGGAGGAGGAGGAGGAGGAGGAGGAGGAGGAGGAGGAGGAGGAGGAGGAGGAGGAGGAGGAGGAGGAGGAGGAGGGAGGTCACTGCATAAGGGAAACAGAATCCCGAGCAGAGCAACACGCACCACGACCACGACGACGCCGACGCCGACGACGACGACGACGGAGACGAGGCGCGCTTACGATCCGCACCGAAGCACGGATTTGGGAAAGGGCCCACCCTGCAGGTTCGGTTAAACAGCACATCGTTGAGCGGTGCTGCAGCCTCCCCTGAGCACAGGCCCCCCCAGAGCATCAGCCAGACAAGTCGGGTTTGCACCCTCATGCCTTGCTGGACTCTGGGCGCGTTTCGGCACCCTCTCCCCCAACCTTGTCAGGGCCACCGCAAGGGAGAGGGCGGCGGTGGCCGACGCGTCCCCGAGCTAAGAAGCTCAAAGCGCCGCGGCTCAGAGAGCCGGGAAGACAGACAGACAGACGGACGGACGGACAGCCAGGCGGCATGCAATGCCTGGCAAGCCAAGTGGGTGGTCACTGCATAAGGGAAACAGAATCCCGAGCAGAGCAACACGCACCACGACCACGACGACGCCGACGACGACGACGACGGAGACGAGGCGCGGAGGAGGAGGAGGAGGAGGAAGAGGGATGATGATGATGATGATGATGATGATGATGATGATGATGATGATGATGATGATGATGATGGGGAGGAGGAGGAGGAGGAGGAGGAGGAGCAGGAAAGGGAGGAGGAGGAGGAGGAGGAGGAGGAGGAAGAGAAGCAGGAGGAGGAGGAGGAGCAGGAAAGGGAGGAGGAGGAAGAGGAGGAGGAGGAGGACAGGGAGGAGGAGGAGGAGGAGCGGGCGCGACGAGAGCGGGGGCAGGGCGGGAGCGGGGCTCGCCCCACGCGCTTCTCTACAGCCATCGTGACCGGGGTCCTGGGGCCCGCGATGGGCCAGTCCTCATATAGCACGAGGCGGCAGCACGCCGCGGGGGCCTCCACCTCTCGCCCTGCTCGTCGCGCGGCACCGCCAGCGTCCTGGCGCCGTCCTCGTCCTCGCCGACGGCCTTCGCCCCAGCGGCGCGCTCTGCCCTGAAAGAGGCGCCGGGCGGCGGCCGCAGGGCAGCCGAGCGAGAGAGAACGAGGGCGGGCGGGGGGGGGCGGCGGGGCGGCGGCGGCGTGCATCGGCGGCGGCGCCTCGCCGCGCAGGAGGCCGGCGCAGCCGCGGGCCAGGAGGACGCCTTGCGCCGGGGGGCGGGGCGCGGGGGATCGGCCACGCGCGCGGGGGGGGGAGGGCACAGTGGAGGTGTGGATTCGGAGGGGGCGCGATGCTTCCCGAGGTCCTCCGTGGCCGCTCCTCTGGCCCGCCTCGTGGACGGAGCCGGCCCTGGGGCCCGGGAGGGGGGCTTCGTTCCTTCTGCCTTGGCATCGCTCGGACGTGTGCATTTTTCCTTCGGCGAGGACCATCGAGGAGCATCCTTTATCGCTTGGCGAAAAAACCACGCACGAAACCGACAAAAAGCACAGGGAGTGGACGTCCGAGCGATGGCCAGCTGCAGCGTTCCTCCTCTCAGCGGCCCGACTGCAGGGTGAGTGGGGGAGGCTGCCCTCGCAGCACCCCTGCTTCTCAGAAGGCGCCGCGGGCCTCGTCGACAGATGTTCCAGCCCTGGCCCCTGCGAAGACGCCTTCTCCCCTCCCTCATGCCCCCTCTGCTTGCGCCGCCAAATGGGCGACGAAAAGACACGGGTCCAACTGCCCCGACATGGGCGCGTAAGCTCCCCGCGTAAGGTCGCGCGTGAGCGCCCGCGTCTCCAATGTGGCGACCACGACCACGACGACGACGACGACGACGACGACGACGACGACGATGACGACGACGACGACAACGGCGACGACGATGATGACGACGACGACGACGGAACACGCCTCCTTCTCGTCGCTCAAATGGAGCTGCGGGTGGTGCTGCTGGCCGAGGGGCGCCACGCGCCCAGCGGTTCGCGCCCTGCCTTCTTGCCGCGCGCTCGCGCCCCTCGGGTGCAGGCCGACTGGATGGGGGGTCGTCGTCGAGGTCGTCGGCGTCGTCGTCGTCGTCGTTGCGTTTTCGTCGTCTTCGTTTTCGTCGTCGTCGTTTTGGTCGTCGTCGTTGGCGTCCATCGTTCGTCGTCGTCGTCGTCATCGTCGTCGTCGTCCGTCGTCGTCGTCGTCGTCGACCGTCGTCGTCTTCACCGTCGTGGTCCTCGTCGATGTCGTCGCCTTCTCCTTCGTTAACGTTGTCGTTGTCGTTTTCGTCGTCGTCATCGTTTTCGTCGTCGTCGTTGCGTTTTCGTCGTCGTCGTTTCCGTCGTTTTCGTCGTCTTGGTCGTTGTCGTCGGCGTCCATCGTCCGTCGTCGTCGTCGTCGTCGTCGTCGTCGTCGTCCGTCGTCGTCGTCGTCGTCGTCGTCGTCGTCGTCGTCGTCGTCCGTCGTCGTCTTCACCGTCGTGGTCCTCGTCGATGTCGTCGCCTTCTCCTTCGTTAACGTTGTCGTTGACGTTTTCGTCGTCGCCATCGGTTTCGTCGTCGTTGTCCTCGACGTCTGCGGGTTTGGGGGACCTCGCACGCGGCCGGTGGGGGGGTGTCCTGGTGCAGGGGTCCTGTCCGTGGTTGGTTGGCGGGGGGGATGTTTGGTGTGCGTGGCGGTGTGTTGGTGAGTGGTGCGTTGTTTCGCCTTCTGACCACAGTCGAGACTGACTAGTAGGTCGACCCTGCCAAGTCAAGGGTACCCTTGTGTCATGTGTTTCGCGACCCCTGCCTTCTGCATGCCTGTGCCGATAACGTGGCCCTCGGGAGGGTCTTGTGGCCTCTCGCGTGCCCTTTCAAATCGTCCCCGATTGTGGCACATGGCCTAGGAGAAAGTTAGCGTGGCGAGAGACCCAACCATATGCAGTTGTGAGTCACGCAGTTGTGAGCAAGCGTGTGGGGGTTGTGCCGAAATTGGTGCCAGGGGCGCATGCGAACGGTGCCACTGGGACCTTCGGTGGAGACCCGTATGGGGCCGAGAAGCGTGTGGGGGTGCGCCGAAATGGATGCCAGGGGCGCATGCGAACGGAGCCACTGGGACCTACGGCGGAGCACCCCATGGGGCCACGAAACGTGTGAGGGGTGCGCCGAAATGGTGGTGGAACTGCATGCGGACCCTGCCACTGGGGCCTTCGGTGGAGCACCCCATGGGGCCACGAAGCGTGTCAGGCGTGCGCCGAAATGGAGGTGGAACTGCATGCGGACCCTGCCACTGGGGCCTTCGGTGGAGCACCCTATGGGGCCGCGAAAGGTGTGAGGGTTGCGCCGAAACTCAAGTGGAACCGCATGCGAACTTTGCCACTGGGGCATTCGGTGGAGCTCCCTATGGGTGTGAGGGGTGTTCCGAGATGGGGGTGGAACCGCATGCGAACTTTGCCATTGGGGCCTTCGGTGGAGCTCCCTTTGGGGCCTCGAAACGTGTGAGGGGTGCGCCAAACTGGGGGTGGAACTGCATGCGAACTGTGTCACTGGAGTCTTCGGTGGAGCTCCCGATGGAACCACGAAACATGTGAGGGGTGTGCAGGCATGGGTGTGGGGGACGCATGCGGGCGGTGGAATTAGGGCTTTCGGTGGAGTTTCCCAGGCGGGGGGGGAGGAGAGGAGGAGGGAGAGAAGCAGGACGTGTTTCCACCATGACCCTTTTTTCTTCGTCGGGGCAAGATGAGGTAGGCGCAGGTGCTTGCTTGTGAGGCGCGCGCACGCACTTCTGCCCCACGGTGCCTCACCATCAGAGGCCCCGCGCGCCCACGGTGCCTCTCCATGTCTCGAAGCTCTTCGTCGTCCTTATACTCCGCATCATGTCCCCCCGCCTCTATCTCTAATCGTCTCGCCTCCACCTCGCCCTTCCTCAGCTCGCCTAATCTCTAATCGTCTCGCCTCCCACCTCGCCCTTCCTCTGCTCGCCTAATCTCTAATCGTCTCGCCTCCTACCTCGCCGAAGTATCTCATTTCCTTGTGCTCTTCCTCCCGCTTCGCCCGCATCCTGCTGCGTCATTCCTCGCTGCCCGTACGCCTTGTGCCTGTCATCCTGCCCCTCGAGAGGACGCCCTCCCTTCGGCCCGCTCGGCGCTGGGGCAGAGGTCGCTCCGAGAGATGACACTCAGGCGGCACCGCCGCCGACTCTGGAGCGGAAGGATTTCTGGATGAGTAATTCGCGGGATGGGGCGGGAGGAGAGGAGAGGAGAGAGCAGCAGGATGGGAGGAGAGAAGAGACAGCGCAGCAGCTTTCCCACCTGTAGGGTGGAGCGAGGGAGAGGACGTCCACGCACACGAGTCCACGCTCGTTTCTGGAGTACGCATTGGGCGGAATGGTGGTCGCGGGGCGCCCGCGCATGCTCCAGATTCGGAGGCAAAGTGTAGTTTGCAAGATCTGTTGAGCAGGGTGGTTGGCTTGCGAGCGGCAAGCAATACGAGGGTTCCCCGCCGTCCTTGCATGGGTCTGGGTCGGCTCCCGGTCGCGCGGGGGAGTGGGATTGGATCAATGTCGGGTGTTGCTAGAAGTGCCCCTGGCCGGAGGTGCCCTCAGGATTTCCAAGGAGGCCCCACGGCCTTCAGGGCACCCCTCACGACTCCCAGACGGCCCCAGGGGCTCCAATATGGAGCGAAAAGCTGGGGGCACCTTGTGCCAGGGGCACCTTTCGCAACCCCCGACAATGGGGAGCAGTGGTGCACCTCCGTCCCCCCCAGCAACAGCCTCTTTCATCCCTCCTCTCTGCCCTTCTCCGTCTCGTCGACCTCGCCCTGCCCGCCGTGCCAAAGCTGGGTGCCGCCGACGTGCCTCGGCTCCGGGCACCTGCGCCCGACCTGGGCGCCCAAGGTCGGGCGCCCAAGGCTTGGGCGCCCGAGTGATCGGGGATGGCTCCGATCTGGGGTAGCTCTTGTTTGGCTTGGCATCGCTCGGACGTGTGCATTTTTCCTTCGGCGAGGACCATCGAGGAGCGTTCTTGATCATTTGGCGAAAAAACACCGCACGAAACCGAAAAAAACACAGGGAATGGACGTCCGAGCGATGGCGAGGTTTGGGCTCCCGACGCACGAACCAGGAGTCATCCCGGACCGCCCGCGGCCCCGAGGATTCGGGAGTGGCTGGACGCCCGCACTATCTGGGATAAAACTTTGGTCCGGGGCAACGCTTCGGTTCGGGCCCCCGAGGCACGAAGGGGCAGCTACCCCAGCTTGGCAACCACGCTGCCAAGCTGCCGATTTCGAGCCGGAGTGGACTGGTGTACGGCGTCGCGTTTCGTCCCCTCAGCTGTCCTCCTTCTCCTCCCAAAATGTGCGCCTGGAAAAAAACGAATGGGTAGCTATACCCCTTACCACCCCCTGCCCCGATGGCTCGGGGCTCTGACCCCTCTTCTCTGCTCTGCCAGGTTCGGGACCTCCGTCCTCGAGCCTGCCGTGTGGCGCGCCCGCTGCAGGAGAACGGGCCCCATGGCGCCGGCATTCGCGCGCACGTTGGCCGCGCAGGGTCTCGGGTGAGCGCCCTTGTTGTTTCCAACAAAGCTCGGGCCGGGCGAAAGGGGGGGATTGGGAAAGGGGGGGTTACGAAATCTGCTGCATGCAGCTGGTTTCGGCCCCACCGAGGGGCCCATTCCTCGATACATGGCCGCCTCCAGGCGCCGGGAGGCGCCAGGAAAATCAGCTGCGTGAGCTGATTCTCAAACCCCCCCTTTGCTATGCCCCCCTTTCGCCCGACCCGAAAAGCGTGCCGCGCCAGCTGCCCGCGTAAGCCACCGCGTACGGTCGCGGTGCCATCTTGCGCAGGACCCGTTTCTTGCCGCTGCTCGTCTGCGCTGCGGCTGCTCCTCTGCGCCTGGCCCGCCTGGCCTCGCGGCCGGCACCTCGCGGCTCGTTGCCTCGGCTGCCGGCCAGCTGCGCACACCAGGATGCGCTTCTCTTCTCTCGCGCGGCCGCTCTTACCCTTAAGGCGGGCCTGTCCCTCTACCGGAGGAATATCGAAAAATAGTTACAAAAGGGGGCCATGTTTCAAGATATGTTTTGGCCATTTGGGAATATCTTTTTGGGGGTATTTTCTGTTGTCGTCCAAAAATCCCCCTGTAGGGGGACGCGCCCGACTTAATCTTACCCAGGCAGGCACCCTCCTCCCTCGAGCGCCCCAACTTCCACGGCGGGACGTGGCACTCCAGCCATGAGAAGGCGAAAACCCACCCCCACCCCCAGTCCAGGCGCACACCCCCGAGCCCGCGATCCGAGGCGTCGGGGATGTGCGCCGGGACGGGGGGCGGGAGTGGGCTCTCGCCCTCTCAAACCATCACCAGCCTCGAACGTATCCCTATCCCTAAGATTGACACGCCAGAAGGCGATGACATTCTTAGGGATTCGCCCTCAAAACATAAGGGAATCCCTAATATTGGCATCGTGATGAGGAGGTGCCCATCCTAGGGATAGGGATATGCCCCAGGCTGGTAATCTCAAACCAGCCCCGCCGACGCCCCACGGCTCCATCGCGGCACCGCCGGGGCTCGCACACGGCAGGAGGGGAAAAAACACACAGACACAATTAATTGTTGATTCCCTAGAAAATATGCGAAACTATGGGAATCGGGGGAAGACAAAACCCCAGAAACTATGAGAAAATATGGGGAATCCTTTTATTTGTGTGTATTTCTTTGTGTGTCCCAGGGCCCCTTCAACACGAGCGTGCCGGCGCGCCGCACCGTGCCCAGGCAGGCACCCCTCCTGCACAGAGCCCGCTGCTGGGTGCGGTGCTTGCTCTGCCGTGCTTGTCCGGGCGGGCGCCTCCCGCCTCGCTCTCTCGCTTTCTCGGCTCCCGGCCGGCTCCGCGCCGGTCGGGCGCTTGCGCCGCTTGCTCGTCTTGCTCTTCTCGCGCGGTCGCTCGGCCGGGCCTGTCTGAAGTCGGGCCTGTCCCTCTACAGGGGCAATACTCAAAATGAGTCCAGAAATAGTCCGGGGCTGTTTTTTTGGCAATCGTTGGATGATTTGGGGGCATTGTTGGGGTATTTTTGATTTTTCGCCAAAAATCCCCCTGTGTCAAGCAGTGGCGAAGCGTCCTGGCTATAGCCCTACCAAACAATATTCTAAGAACCTTTCGTGGTTCCCAGGAACTGTTCTCAGAGCATTTCTGGCGGAGTCTGTTTGTTTTCTCACATCGGGCTTATGTTCTAAGGACATTGTTTCTGTTCCTAGGACATTTTGGGGTCCTGAGAACATTTCGTGGTAGGACTATAGAAATGCCGGGACGGGGCGGTCCCTGCTCTACTGGAAGGGGACCTGCCCGACCCGGGCCTGTCCCCCTATAGGGGCAATATTCAAAAACAGTCCAGAAATAGTCTGGGGCCGATGTTTTGATCATTGCTTGGTGCTTTCGGGGCATTTTTAGGGTATTCGTAATTTTTCGCCCAACATCCCCCTGTAGGGGGACCTGCCCGACCCAAGGCTTGCCTGGGCAGGCACCGCGCCGCTGCTGCCCCCGGCGCGCCGCTCTCCCTCCCGCCCCTGCCCGGCCGCGCTGCGCCCCGGCCTGGCCCCCGCCCCTCTTGAGGCTGCTCCTCCACGGCGCGCCTGCCGCCGTTGGGCCTCGCGTCTGAACCCTGACCTTCCAGAGAGCTATTTTTTAGCACTGGGGACCTAAGCACCTAAAAAGCTGAGCGAAACTGCCGAAAGCCAAGACGCAGAATAGCTTTGGGATAGGTTTTTAAGTCGGGTGCTATTTTTTAGCCCTCCTGGAAGGTCAGGGAATGGCGGGGGGGGGGTGTCGCAGGCCTAGAGGTAGACACCAACACCAACATCGGCGGTGTGCCTCCACCGAGGGAAGAAGATCCCGACCTCGGCGCTGGTGGTCATGTTCGGGCTTCCAAGGTGGCCGAAATACGACCACCAACCCCGAAGTCTAGGATCATCTTCCCCCTGTGGAGGCAGCCCCCTGTCTTGGCGTTGGTGCCCATTTCCAGGCCTCCAAGGGGGGGGGCCGTCCCGAGGGGCCGCGCGGGGCCCCCCGCCGCTGGCGCCCCCGCGGCTGCTCCGTCGGGGGGGGGGGGGGCGGGCGGGGGGGGGCGCGGCCCGGCCCCGGGAGGTCGGCCACGCGGGACCCGCCGCCTCCGCGGCCGCCCTCGCGACGGCTGCCCTCTGGCCCGTCGGAGCTGTCTGAGATCGACGGACTGCCCACATGCCTCGGAACAAATTAGCGAACACTCATGCCACATTCATCCGTCAACGCCTCCCCCTCCCCCCAGTGTTCAAAGTTGGCGGTGGGTCTGATGAGTTGCACCTCGACCGCAGTCTCCCCCCGCGCGTGCCAACTTTGAGTTTGGGGGGCAGGGGGGGTGTTCACTAATTGTTTCCCTCTACCGTATGTCGTCGTCCTGGCCGCTGTCGGCTGCCATCGCCATCTCGGCCGACCCTCGCAAAGCGGGTTTCGCGTCGCCTGTTCTGCGCTGGCCGGTCGAGGTCTAGAGTCAGCCCGCACGGTAAGGATGGGCCACTCGGCGGCAACCTTCCCAAGGGTACCCTAGCAGCATTGCCGCCTCGGCCATCATTGGCCACTTTCATTGGCCGCGCCCTGGGCGAGAAGCTTCGAAACTGCCCTCGAATGCCCTTGTATCCTTATCGCGCGTCCTTCTGATACGGGTTGGCTGTGCCCCTCTCCGCAGTCGTCCTCAGCGCAGTCCAGCTCTCATCCGCAACGCTGGGTGCATCTCATGCGCTCCGAATCGCGACTCTGATGCCACATCGCCGGCGGAGGCAAAACCCGAAGGGTTAGGAGAGCCGCGATTTGTTGCACACTCTTTCGAATCGTGTCGGGGGGATCCCTTTTCGTCTTCGTCGTCTTCCTCCCCTTCTTCCGTCCTCGCTTGGCTCCTGTCGGGCAGTCTTGGGGGTCCATTTGGACACTTTGTCCAGTCTTGGGGCCCTCTTGGGGCGTCTTGTGGCTCTCGTGGGCCATCTTGGGGTCCTCTTGGCAGCCTGGGGGGTCTCTTGCGGCCGTCGCGGGGCTGTCTTTGGGCCGTCGAGGTGCGCACTGAGGCCGTAGTGGGTTCCTCCAGAGGCGTTTTTGGGCCAGCTCGGTGGTCTCTTGGAGCCGCTCTGGGCCGTCCAGGGTCCAGGGGCCCACTCGGGCTGTACTGAGGACGCCTTGGATGCTTTTGGGGGGCTTTTTGGGTCGTCTTGGGGCCATCTCGGCGGCCTCTAGAGCCGCCTGGACCTGCAGGGAAATGTGAAGGCGCCCAAATCTGTCCGCAAACGACGGGGAATTACTGACACTGCTTTTGGGGGGCCCTACTGAGGGTCCTCTTAAGGCCCTCTTGGGCCGTCGTGGGGGCTTCGTTGGCCGTCTCAAGGCCATCCTGGGCCGCCTTAGGCCACATGGGGCCGTCTTGAAGGCCTCTTGGGCCATCTTCTCGGCCTCGGTTGCCTGCCTCGGCTGTCTCGGAAGCTCGGGAGCGCGGGCCCGTTGTTTTTGTAAAAGGGACGGTCGAGGGAAACAATTAGTGAACACCCCCCCTGCCCCCCAAACTCAAAGTTGGCACGCGCGGGGGGAGACCGCGGTCGAGGTGCAACTCATCAGACCCACCGCCCACTTTGAAGATTGGGGGGAGGGGGAGGCGCTCACAGATGAACGTGGCACGAGTGTTCGCTGTGTTTTCCCCGAGGCCTGGATCGCGGCCTCGGGTGCGCGGGCCCTTTGTTTTTCCGAGGGATCTTGACCCCGCGAGCGCGGGCCCGTTGCTTTTTTTACCCAGCGATCTTGGCCCTCGGAGCGCGGGGACCCACTCGTCGCGGCCTTGGGGAGAAGGGAGCGGCGGACGCGCCTCTCGGCTTCGAGAGGCGGCGGGGGGGGGGCGCTGCAGAGCATCACAGAGACGCTACCAGACAAGACTTGGCATTCTACCACGCTTCGGGGACGCGGTGGCGGATGCAGCACACTAACAAGAGAAGGAGGAATAGCATACCATACCAGTACGTATCCATCTACATCTACATACACTTTACCTGCACGCCTCTATCCTATATGTGTGCATGTATAGAGAGAGACAAGCGCGCACACATACATCTATACATATACGTATCATTATACACACCTGCATGTCTAAACATACATAGAGAGAGAGAGTGCGAGAGAGAGAGAGAGAAAACACGTTTTTTGCGTGCGGAGAGAAGTCGAGAGACAGAGCGAGAGAAGGGTCAGACAGGGCGATGGAGAGAGACAGAGAGAGAGAGAGAGCGCGAGAGATCGAGAGGGAGAGGGAGCGAGAGAGAGAGGGGGGGGAAAGGAGCGAAAGAGAGCGCAAGAGAGCGGAAGAGAGGAGCGAGACAGAGGCAGGGAGGGACAGCGGCACCGAGAGAGAGACACCAGGGAGGCACGGCGGGGCCCGGCGGGCCCCGCCCCGGGGCGCGAGCCTGGCGAGCCGAGCCTGCGACGGCGGCCGCGGCCCCGGCTCGGAGAGAGCTCTCCCGCCGGCGCGCGCAGGCCCCTTCGGCCCCTCCCTCGAGGGGCCTCCGGGAGGCTCCGGCAGGGTCGAGGCGCCCCGGCGTGCCCGTCTCGGGCCGGACGAGAGGGGGGGGGGATTGGGAAAGGGGGGGGGGTACGACATGTGCGGCGTGCCGCTGGATTCGGCCTCGCCGAGGGGCCCATTCCTCGCCTCGCCAGCGGCGAGGCGTCCTCTTGGCATCGCTCGGACGTGTGACCTTTTTCTCGGCGAGGACCATCGAGGAGCATCCTGGATCGTCGAGCAAAGAGGACGCGCACAACACCGACAAACGCACAGGGAAGGGACGTCCGAGCGACGGCAAGTCCTGGCGTGCCCGTAGGTCTACCATACCAAACAACGTTCTCAAAACCTCCTGTGGTTTCCACAAACTGTTCTCAGAACATGTCTGGCGGAGTCTGTTTTCTTTCAACACGTCGGCGGTCCCTGCTCAACCAGTAGGCCTACCAGACATTCAAAAACCCGAATAAGGACGCGCGACTTTGCTCAGGGTGCCCTTGCCTCCTTGCTCTTCCTTGCCCTTGCGTCCTTGGGGTCTTCGTCGTCCGCCGCCCCAGAAATCCCAACTTCGGCTTCCAAGGGTCTTGCGTCCTTACCGCGCGTCCTTATTAGGTTTTTGACTGTACCAAACAATGTTCGAAAGATCTGTTGTGGTTTCCACAGTCTGTTCTCAGAACATGTCTGACGGAGCCTGTCCTCTCTCAGCACGTCGGCGGCCCCTGCTCCACCGAGGCGGGGGTCGGTGCAGAGGGGGCCAGCCAGAGGGGCGGATCTCGCAGGACATCCTGCAGAGCCAGGGGTGCAGTGACCCAGGTGAAGCGCGCAGGACCCCCGCGAAGGTGCTGCAGGATCCTGCAGGGTCTGACTGGCCCCGGTTTGCACTGGCCCGGATCAGTGCGTCTCCGACCCTCGATCTCCCAACCCTGGTCGACGATGACGTCGACGCCGCCGCCGCCGCCGATGACGACGACGACGACGACGACGACGACGACGACGACGACGACGACGACGACGACGACGACGACGACGACGACGACGATGGCGGCCGCGGGCGAGAAAGGAACCGCCCACCCCGTCGGGTGGCGAGCGTCTTGGAGGGCACCTCCTCCACCTCCTCCTCCATTCCTCCTGCTCCTCCTCCTCCCTCCTCCTCCCTCCTCCTCCTCCTCCTCCTCCTCCTCCTCCTCCTCCTCCTCCTCCTCCTTGGCCCCACTCCGCGCCGAGCGGCGGGGCCGGTGGAGCGGAGGGGGTGCGCCGCGCGCGAGGCGCTCGGAGCTGCCCCTCTCGGCGCGGACGCAAGCCTCGGAGCCGCGGGAGGGGCCAGCCACGAGCAGATGGGGGGGGTAATGGGGGAGTTAACGGGCGAAGAACGGTATTAAATAAACTACTTCGCCGTCGGGGACACCTGCCCCAGGGCGGCTGGAAAGTTCATACCCTTACGATGGCACCGTAGGGGTATAAACTTTCCAGCCGCCCAGGGGCAGGTGTCCCCGACGGCGGACATTTTATTTTATACCGTTCTTTGCTCGCTGGGGGAGGGGGGAAGGCCTCGTGCAGTGGAGACCCATGCCAAGAAACAGCCTGCTTGCCTCCAGGGTGCCCTGGGTTTCTTGGGTGTCGATGGCGTTGCTATGGAAAGCGTGACGCTCCCACACCAAAACTGCATGGACGTCCTGGGGTCTCAAGGGTTGGGTTCCTTGTGGAAGGTGTCTTGTGGTCGAGCTCCTACTGTAATGGGGGAGGGGGGGAGAAGGCTTCGTATTAAGCACCCCTGCTTCTCAGGAGGCGCAGGCCTTGTCAGTGCAGATGCGGGGCGCGGGCGCCTTCTGGGAGAAGCAGCCTGCTTCCAAGAAGCCTTCCCCCCCCCGTTACCCTTCAGTCGGGCCTGTCCCCCTACAGGGGGATGTTCGACGAAAAATGAAAAAATACCCCAAAGAATAATCAAACAATGGTCCAAAAATAGTCTGGGGACTATGTTTCGAGTATTTTTTGACATTCTTGGGGTATTTTGGGGGGATTCCTTATTTTTCGTCCGAGAACCCCCCTGTAGGGGGACCCGCCCGACCTGACGTTACCCCCCCTTAGTGCGCGCCGCCGGAGAGGGGGCGCGGGCGTGCGCGCGCCCGCCCGCGCCAGCGCCCGCGCGCCGCGGGAGAGCGCTCTCGGCCAGGGGCGGCGCGGGGGGGATCGGCTCGGAGGCTCGAGAGGCTCGAGAGGCTCGAGGTCTCGGTCGGCGGCGAGCGCAGGGGGGGACAAGGGGAAGGAGGACAAGGGGGGGAGGACAAGGGGAAGGGAGGGGGGGGGGACAAGGGGAAGGAGGAGGCATTCTCGGGGGGGCAAGGGGAGGGGGACAAGGGGACAAGGGGAAGGAGGAGGCCTCCTCCGAGGGCGGCGGGACTCCTCAGAAGCCCTCGCGCCTCCTCAGCAGCGGGGGGGGGACAAGGGGAAGGAGGAGGCCTCCTCGGAGGGCGGCGGGACTCCTCAGAAGCCCTCAGCGCCTTCTCGGCAGTGTGCTGCGTCTCCGGGGAGGGCTCAGACCACTTGTCAGAAGGCCTTGCAACTTCCGAGCCTTCTGAGCAGGCCCGCCCCTTCTCACTTCCCCCCCGGGGCGCGCCGCCTATTTGGGTTTTCGGCCAGTCTTCGTCGGTCCCTGGCCGGTTTCCGGCCTCGGAATGCCTTCAGTTAGCGGGCGATGCGTGGTATGAGATGCGCTTGTTCGCCGTCGGGAGCGCCTGTCCCAGGGCGGCAGTCTATTCCCCACTGGTGGCACGTCGCGGTGTACATTTTCTAGCCGCCCTAGGGTTAAATCGGGCCTGGTCTTCTACAGGAGGAACAGTCAAACATTAGTTAAAACATAGTCTGGGGACGATGTTACTATTACCTTTGCCTATTTTTATTTATGTTTGAAACTATTGTAGTGGCCTCCGGCCAGTGCCGCCGATCCGGGGCACTCCAGGGGATGATGATGATGATGATGATGATGATGAGGATGATGATGATGATGATGATGATAATGATGATGATGCTGATGATGATGCTGATGCTGATGCTGATGCTGATGCTGATGATGATGATGATGCTGCTGATGATGATGATGATGCTGATGATGTTGACGATGATGATGATGATGGTGATGGTGATGGTGATGGTGATGATGATTCTTCTGATGATGATGTTGATGATGAGGGCGATGACGATAATGATGATGATTACGAGGATGATGGTGCTGATGGTAATAGTGATGATGATGATGATGATGATGATGATGATCTTGATGATGATGGTGATGGTGATGATGATGATGATGACGGTACTGGTGGTGATGATGGTGATGGTGGTGATGATGATGGTGTTGTTGATGATGATGACGGTAGTGGTGGTGATGATAATGGTGGTGATGATGATGTTGATGATGAGGGCGATGATGATGATGATGATGATGATGATGATGACAATGCTGATGCTGACGATGAGGATGATGATGCTGATGATTATGCTGATGATGATGAGGATAATGATGATGATAATGATTACGGTCGTGGCGGTTATGACGATGGTGGCGGTGATGATGTTGATGATGCTGCTGCTGATGATGATGAGGACGATGATGATAATGATGATGTTGATGATGATGATGATGATGATGATGATGATGATGATGATGATGATGATGATGATGATGATGATGGTGATGGTGATGATGGTGATGATGGTGATGGTGATGGTGATGGTGATGGTAATGGTGATGGTTATCGTGAGGGTGATGGTGAGGGTGGTGGTGATGGTGATGTGGGCTTGGAAAGGAGGAGAGGGAGGAGGAGGAGGAGGAGGAGGAGGAG